TAAATACTTGTAGCTATGTAATAATTAAATATATATAAGATTCCTTCTCTATTACCTAGTCTAGTACATAGATGTAAATAAAATTAAAAGTGCTTTTTCAAAAACTATTTTTAAATTTAAGTGTGATCCACACGCAACGACTTACCGTACGAATTGCTGGCGTCATTTGAACGTCATTTGAATAACTGGCCACACGCTCTCTCTATGTTTTATTTGCAACGTTTTGAGGACACGCGACGCACAGTGGTTCAGATTGCCAAAAAGTGGCGCATAGGATATTTTTAATTTTATTACAAATTCTAGACTTATTAGGTTTAATGGCGGATTTATTAACATGACAAAGATAGTCCAAGGAATAAACAAAATATATTTCAGACTATGTTTGTTTAATATAAAAATATTAAAAAAGGGGGATTTTCTATGAATTTTAGTCAAAAATTATAGTTTTTAAAAAGGTTTGAAAAATGCTTCGAACCTAGTCAAAAAAGAATACCCATTAGGTTCTCTCGTCTAAATTAAAGAAAAAAACATAAATTGCAATATGCATTAAATGGAGTCTTCAAACTCATTTTCTTCATGACACGATTCACCACCACTTCCTTCTAGTTCTTCTTCACTATCCTATTGACAATAATATTCTGTTGCCATATGAGTGTCATCTGCGGGTAAATCTTCACCTATTTTTAGTGGCGACTACTTTCTCTGGAGATTCAAACCCTAGTTGGACTGCTTTTGCCGTCTCATTGTTATGTTCCTTCCTTAAACTAGAAACTGTAGCATATGCCAGAACTTCCGAGGTGTAAGAATCTCTAATTTCTAGAAATAAATTGATTTTTAATCTTTGCCATTAATTAAAAGCAATAATGCAATATTTGCAGCATTATGTAGATAAAAAAAAATATGTTTTTTTCTGTAAGATATTATAAATTAATTTCTTGGCAATATATACATTTGGTCTCTTTATATTTTTGGGACTTGGACAATTCTGAAAAAATATTTTTTCTTGAAGGGCCAGGGTCATCAAAAGATTGATTCTCTTCCATTTGAAGTAAATTTTTATTCAGCCAGAGACAACTGTTGGAAATAAAACTGCTCCAAGTATAATTACATTTCCTCCACTTTTCTGACCATTTATAAACAAAATTTTTAATTTGCTTTTTTTTTCGATAATATGTTAGGAATATTATTATCACACAAAAATGAAATAATTTCATCAATAATATCCGCTTCTGACCTATTATTCATACCCATTTTCAAAAACCTCTCACATATTGCTTATTGTTCCTAAAAATAAAAGGAATAGAGTACGGGAGGAACATGTGAGTCTCTATAGTTACACTTTTACCACTCCAGAGAAAATTATCCATGGAACAAAAATCAGACTACTGGTCAATTTAAAATTCTAATTTATATATCATCTACCTCGGGGTCTCTTGGGGTAAGATACTTGTAGTAAATTAAACTTGGTATAATACCTTTTAAATATTATAAAATACAGAAGCAGAGATCTGCGGAGTTCTAAAGATAGGCAATTTCAAAGTTTAATTTTTTCAAAATAACGCTCTGCTATGTTTGTGGTAACTACTAGCTTCATAAAAAAATATTTAAGTTAATAAAATTCTCTTAAAAAGTACTTACCTTGGTCTTCAAAATCCATTATAATTTAATTTATTTCCAAGTCTCTGAACTAAGAACCAAAATATATTAGCAACACTAAACCATTATCAGCAAATAAATAATATATTTAAACTACAAAATCTAACGAAAACAACATTCCTATACGCTTTTTTATTACGATTAAAAAGTGGATCGTGATAAATTTGAATAAATGGACCTATCATCTGTTGAAAATAACATCATTGTTGAAATTTCCGAAATTTTTTTCTTGATCCCTATGCGTCAATTTTTTTGAATCTGAACCAATGTGCGACGCAAGCAAGTCGTACGGTAAGTCGTTACGTGTAGACCACACTTAACGTAAACACGTTTTTTAAATGTTACTTATTTTAAATTATTGATTTATCTCCACTAGCACTTCACATGATAAATTTTATCATTAATTATACTTTTATCACTTTGCTAGAGATTTGAGATAAAAATTCCTTTTTATAATTATTCTTTAACAATTAAAATATAATATGATTTTTGCTGAGTAATTTTGATAATAATATGATATTTCTCAAAGTACCTACATACTTATATTTTTTATTTTTATATTTGTATTATAGACTTTTTTTAGATTTTTTACAATTAATTCTGTACAGATTGGGCCAAATTGGACACTTTTAAAAAAAGGAAACCTCTTTTCTACAGGAGATAGACGAAAATTAATATTGGTGTCTGGAGCTCAATTTTTATCAAAAACATGATGGTGAAACCGCATATCAATATCTGTTACCGTTTCGGAGTTTTTTTCAAAAATGTGCATTTTTAACAAATTGCTGTATCTTTTTTGATATGAAAAATTTTGTATTTTTATGAAAAAATTTCCAAAGCACCTTTTTACGTAGAATTTAATGGTTTAAGTATAATTTTTTTAAAATTAATAGGTACTTAATTTAAGAGTTATCAACCCAAAAATTATAACTAACTCTATAACTAATATATATAACTAACTAACTAACTATATAAACTAACTCTATAACTAACTCTTTTGATAAAAATTGACTCCAGTCACCGATATTAGTTTTCGTCTATCTCCTATAGAAAAGGGTGTTTCCCTTTAAAAGCGTCCAGTTTGACCCACCCTGTACATAGTAACTGAGTTATCTTATGGGTACAGTTTGTTCACGCATCGTTCATCGTTACGTCATCATCATTTGTCACATACACATATGAGTTTTAGAGTGTATCTGAGATCAGCTCATATTGATGTTTATATGTTTTAATTTTGACATTGATCGATGTCCATAGATTGATGGCCGTCAATAAAATTATAACCCCAAATCAAATGACAATGACAATGACAAAATGACTAAAAAAATATGCAGTAATTTACAAAATGCCGTAATGACGTCACCAATCTCTATCATCTGGTTATTAAGTGATTGAAAGTGTTCGACAATATATGACGTGACGATGAACGATGCCTGAACAAACTATACGTCTGGTCTCTTTATCTATGACGTCATTTTCAGCGAAATGCGCGTACCTGTATTTATTTTATGCAGTCAACCATACTGTATAAATTATACTTTAATTAAACTATATACAAATACGTCCATATAAAGAATTTCTAAAAGCTTTATGAACTTCCTCTATTTTTATAAGCTTCTTAAAAACACTCTGTATTTTTATAAACATTGTTTACTTTATTTTATGATCGAAAAATTTTATGATCAAGGTGTATTTGACCGTTAAAAAAATTCTAATTTAATTTTCATACAGATTTGATTACGAACATGTCATTTTGCATAGCTAGCTTGATCATAATTTTTTCTTCATCATACTGTATAATATGTATTAACAAAGAAAAAATGCATCTATTAAATAGATATTTTTTATTAATAACGTTTAATAGGTACTTATAGAACTTCTTGAACTTCAATGTCTAAAATGCTACCTACATACTATTTCAAATTGAATTATTGTATATTAAATAAATATAATATACATATACAGTTTCATTATATATAACTAGAGTTTTATTAATAAAAATAAGGCTGCGTAAACTCCCTTTTAACCTATGTATTTGTTTTATGTTAAAAAGTTACGAAAATAAGTATAGAGTATAGAGTACTGTATATTTTTAGAAAGCTCATAATAAGACAAATAAAATAAAAAATTAATACACAGGGTGTCCCACTTAAAAAAAAAACAATAGATTGAGTCATATTTTGAAAATGACAGTTTTCAGCGACGGACTAGTTACGCCACTGGATTTTACTCTGTGCAGGGTGGGCCAAATTGGACATTTTTAATGGGAAACACCCTTTTCTATAGGAATAGGAGGTAGGCGAAAACTAATATCGGTGTCTGGAGCTCAATTTTTATCAAAAACATGATGGTAAAAACCGCATATCGATATCTGTTACGGTTTCGAAATTACGGCGTGTTTTTTAAAAATGTACATTTTTGAAAAATCGCTGTAACTTTTTTGTCATGGAAAATTTTGTATTTTTATGAAAAGATTTTCTCGTCTTGCTTGAAAAATATGTTTTCGAGTTCAATTAGGGGCAATAAGGGGTCCAAAGCCTACTAGTTAAAAGTGGCGAACTTTTAAAAATTCTGTGTTTCGAAGATGACTATAACAAAATTAAATAAGTAATAAGTAATTTTAAGTTCTTTTCAGTTAACTAAAATATACAGGGTGTCACAAATAAAAAAAAATTCTGTTGATAACTCTTAATAAATTATTAATTTAAAAAAAATTATACTCAAAACATTAAATTCTACGTAAAAAGGAGCTTTGGAAATGTTTTCATAGAAATGCAAAATTTTCCATAACAAAAAAGTTACAGCGATTTGTTAAAATTGCACATTCTTGAAAAACACCCCGTAACTCCGAAACAGTCACAGATATCGATGTTTTTGATTGCGGTTTTCATTATCATGTTATTGATAACCAAAAAAAGGGTGTTTCCAAATTTTCGCTTTAAAAGTGTCCAATTTCGCCCAACCTGTACGGGTAAAACTGACAGGTAAAACTTTAGGTGTAGACATGGCTTAATACAATAAAACCACCACCTTAGATTTCCATTAAATTACGTCATAAAATACTTTTAATAAACCGAAACCCCGTATAAAAAATATACAGTCCCCAAACATTAGTAATAAAACAAAATGCAAGTCACATTCATTGATCATTCTAGAATATCTTCATCCTTCCTCTATCCTTTTTCCTCGTACACGTAAAACAGGGAAATAGATAACTCCAAAACGTACTCGACAAATAATACCTTTTTATCGATGACGGCGTAAGAATATGCAACCAACAAACACATACGTCCAAAGCTGCCGTCCTTTACTAAACGTCAAAATTAGACAGAGATAAAAGATCGCCGTAAGATAAGCGAGAAGGTTAACTTGTTTTGTATTTCAGTCGGCCGAATTTGTCAAATCGAGGTATTGTTGAGAGGTTTCCGTAACAGTTTTTCAAAGTTACTATTAAAACTCTTTTTAAAGCAACGAAAATGGTTACCTACATTAAAGACAAGGTACGTACAAGTTTAGATCTACAACTATTACACGCGAGCATTGGTTTAACAGAAAAATGTCGGCAAACTTATATATTACCGAATGTTATAGTGTCAATTCCACGTTTTTTTATTACAAACCTAGATTTCTTAACCATGTTTTAATTATTGTTTCTCTGTAAAATTGCGTAGTATTTAGAAAGTTAGATGTGAGCTATTTTGTAAGAAAATACCAAGGACAAGGCCTTATAGGTATGTCGGTGTAAAAAATACGTTAAAATGCAGGTAATTTTAATTATGATGCCTGAAATTTTACCATATAATGTGGATTTTCCTGTAAAATTGGTACCTAGAATACCTATATAGTTAGTTTAGTCGTTCTTAACAAAAATCGTGATTATAATAGATCTATGAGCAATATAATTGTGACATCATAAATACTAGTCATTTTTATAAGGAATTCTAAAAATTAGTTACACTTATTTTTCAGGGATTTTTGGGGTAAAAAACCAAGGGAGTTTGTCACAAAACAAACGTTTTTTAATCGTTCTTTAATCACATAATGCCTCTTATCTATTTATCACCGCTATCATTTTTCCTTAATGGCAAAAACTGATAAACTATGAATGATTTTTTAATTCTATTGAAGCACCATTGTAAATTATTAACTTGTCATCGTATAATATAGATAAAATACAATATACATACCGCATACATTTTTCAGATTTGAATACACTCAAGTACCTATTATAGTACATACCAGGTACATACCAATTAAACTTTTAGTCACGTGATTGCTTGACCGGCACAGCCACTTTGCAATTTGCCCACTTTTACATATTTTCTTTTAATCAAAATATTTTAGGAGACAGAAATAAATTAATTGTAAATAAATAAACAGTTATCATTTACATGAACAAAACTCACCTCCTTAACAGTACTTAAGTGACATAAAGGGCCACTACTATCGCTTTCCCGTTCAAAATATTCTAATAAGGTTGCGATGCTTGTTTTGCATTGGCTATTAAGCTGTCTTGTACACTTCGCACTAAAAGATGTTCTAAAGAGAACAAAGTTCGACTGTAAGTTCTGCTATAGTCTGTGAAACGAATAACTTTGAATTTGACAGTTCCCGCGGGCTTTTCTAGTGTTAATTTTATTAGGTTAGCAACTTGCGGCCATGCTGACGCAATGCCGTCTCTAATAGAACAGCCTCGGAGAGAGATTTATGACGTCACGCTAGTTAGATACTACGGATTAATAAATATGTTGTAGAATACATGGAAAACATAATAATTCCTCGTATTTTTGGTTTGTATTTTAAAAATGATATAGTTTACATGAAATATACATAATATACAGTTAATAAATACAATATATATATATATATATATATATATATATATATATATATATATATATATATATATATATATATATATATATACCTATTTATAGTAATAAATAACTTTCGGAAATAAACCAAATAAACTATGAACCATACAAATGCAGCAAATGTTTTACAATATACAAATAATGAATAGGAATAGGTACATAAGGTAATGGGTAAAATGTAAAATATATTTTAAATTTTTGGGTTTGAAAATCGATCTAATTTAACAAACAACATTCAATATCTACTACTTACTATGGCTGAAATCGTATTCCATAGTCAATGTAGATAGTTTTAGTGTTAAGAATAATAATTTAAAAAAATACGTGGTCATCTTGCGATTTTGTTGTCGATGCAATTTTGTGGTCTAATGAAGCATTTTATAATAAATTGTGATTGAATCCTCTCTCTCAAGTTATTTACTTATAACATATTGGCTTAAAACACCATTCTTTTAGTTTTTTTAAGAATTAGGTAGATCCGTGGCTAACGTCATATTCAAGGCCTGACTGTTTTGACAGTTCTACCGAAGTGGTCGAGAATTAGTAGTCCTAAACAAACCAATTGTTTTCATTAGTTTCGCAACAAATCTGTGTTTTTTACGCGTTTCTATGCTAATAAAATTATACTAAATAATTTTGAGTGAATAGTGAACTATCTAGATCCGATTCATAACATCGTACCCGCGAAAAAAAACCATACTTTCGGTAAAAATTATAGTAACACGGCGATGCCGGCTGTGTGTCCGGACTAGGAAAAAGTTGGGGAATTTATATAAAAACATAATTAATAGCATTTGTGTTAGTGTATAGTGTTAAACCAACGTAAGTGACGTGTATTTTTAGGTAAAACAGTTGTCGTTTCTTTATTTTTACTTTGTGAAATAAAAAATGCCGCGACATTGTTCTGTGTCTGTGCCTTGTAGCAGCAATTATAATAAGTCCTCAGGATCTGTCTACATTCTCTTTCCCAACAATATTAACTGTAACTAAGTCACGTTCAAAACCTACAGAAGATGCTGTGCCTACAATTTTTCCAAATCAACCCTCTTATATGACTGTGCATGTTCCCATAAAGAGAAAACATCCCGATGAAAGAAAGATTTGGAAATTCAGGATGAAATAAATATTGAATATAATTATTATTATTATGAAATGGCAATATATTTTAAAGAAATTAAATGAATTGTACTTTATTTCAGTATTTTATATAAAAAAAATATCTTTATCTTTTTATTTACGATTTATGGAAATGGTTACTTGAACATCGAAGTACAAATTACTTAATGATAATAGTTAATTCTACCTGATATCCATATTTTTCAAATATGTTAGGCAAATTTTTACAATTATTTTTAATTAAACTTTAAAATGTATTCTGCCCTTATCATATACAATACATTTTCTTAACTTGTCGATAAAGTATAGTTTTCAAATTTTTTAATATTTGGAAACTTTATCACAAGGTATATTATTACTAGCTGCTAAATACTCGCTAACGCAATTTTAGGACATGCTTTTTATTATCTGGATTTTATTCTGTTCATCTTATGCTGTTGTTTATTTCATATTAATATTCGTGTTTTAGATCTAAATTTTAATGCTATTCAATTACTTTAACGCAATAAAAAGTTAATGTTATTTTTTAATACCTTTGTGTATAATATTTTTCATATTTATATCTGGCAAAACTATCAATAAATAGTATTATTTATGCAAAAACTATATGCAGTACCATATGGCACAATTCAAAAGCCCGACTATTGCGGTGACGTCACAAATCGATGTCTCTGGCCTGTATCTCATGTTGGTTATGGTAGATCCGTAGAAAGAGTACCTACTCTTTCTACAACCTCCGTATCTGTATAAAACTACTAAGTAAAAAATATACATTATTCATCAATACCTGTAATCATTGACATAAATTAAACTTAATTTATAAGTTAACTAAATAGTTATTAGTCTGAAATAATAAATTTGAAATGTTTTTATGCCAAAAGTTCAACAGAAACTGTTTTATCATAATTATTGTTTTCAAGAACAAATTATTATTAATTTAAAAAAAAAGTTCACAAATTTATCACTTCGATGTTGTTTTGTTTGTTGTTTATTTTTTGTCAATAATGATGTATTGATTGTTTCCTCTCTAAATATCTTGAGAACGGTTGCTCGTAGCGATTTTTACCAAGAAACGTTTTTTTACGAAAAAAATGATGAAAATATATATTTTTTCACTCAGTAGTTTTATACAGGTACGAACGAAAAGTTATTACTCTTCAAAACAGTTAAAACGCAAGTAGGTGGCGCCCCCTACAAGTAGGAGTCATATTGACATCGAAATCAAATTTCTCATATCAAAAAATACCCAGATACTAATTTTCATCGAAATATCGACTTCAAAAAAAAAGTTCAGAAATTATTTGGAAAACCCCGAAATAAAAATGAAACTTCTACACCCTGTATATACATAGGACTTTATGAATTCTAGTCTACACCCTGTATATAAATAATCCATACAGAGCCTAAAACAAACTTTCACGAACCAATATTTGATTTGCACTTTTCATTTCTAAATGTTTGTATCGCAACTTAATCATATTTAAGCCGTTTATGTATTTATTGACCCTCCTCAAGCACGAAATAAAGTTTCATGTCACAAATCCATTAAATTTATTATTACCTGTGAAGGTGAAGCGTCGCTCTTGGTTAAAACAGTAATTCATGACCTAATGCGCATAATATATAAATAAATAAATAAATAAATAACGTCTTTATTTTTTACTCGGCGAAATTCAGCAGAGCTGTTAAGTTAACCGAGCATATAAAAAAAGTAAATAATATAATACATTCTTAAAAAATAACATTCAAAGAAAAAAGAATTAGTAAGAAAAATGAAAAGTAACAATATACTTAAAGTATTAACAATATACATAAGTTAAAGCAAAAACAGTAAAAAATGAAAATTGTTCCGTAAAGGATACAAAAATTAATAAATCAAATTATTGTGTAATTCTATATCCGCTCAACATATAAGTTTTTAATTTTGTTTTGAAAGTGAACGTCTTTAAATCAAGGGAGTATAGATTCAAGTTGGAATTGTACATCTTGGTGAATATACCTTTATCCTATTTTTTTCCTGGGATTTATTTATGTCAGCAACTATAAATAAATAATTAGAATACAAATCAGTAAATATATTTCCTTTTTTTTCTTTTACAGAATGACTTACAGCAAAAACTGACTGATGCTGGAGATCAGTTGGTAGTCATTGACTTCTTCGCCACCTGGTGTGGACCCTGTCGAATAATTTCTCCAAAATTGGAGGAATTGGCCACCGAATACACAAACGTCCACATATTGAAGGTAATAATATGTCATTTTTAAAATATTATAGGCTTGGTGCATTCTCCGTCGGTGCTGTCACCATCGGAGAATATCGTAAACAACCGGTATATACTTTTCATACCGGATACTTACGGTTTTTATTAGTATACTCTTTTACAAATATTTAAATAGTTATTTTTTGTAAACAAATGAGCTAGTCATATTATTAGTTTTAGCATCTGTACATTTTGTACATTTGTTAGTACAATATTGGGTTTAAAATTATTGTTACTGTATTTTCATAAAATCGTAAATATTTCAAAAACGGTAAGATTAAAGTGCGGTAAACCTTAATCAAATTTACCTTTATTTTAATTGTAGAAACTAAAAATGTAATAATATACAGGGTGTTCCATTTAAAAGAAAAAAACAATTTTCATATTTTTTATTTATTTGGGACACTTTGTACCTTTTGGAAATAATTTTAAATTGTAGCTAATCGTGTGGCTACAATACTCCGTGTCAAATGAGGTGAATAACCCTGTAGACACCCCCTAACGTCTTTTAGACTGTCTAGAGCACAGCCCGACTCTACTTAACAAGCTGTGAACAACCATTTGGCAACGCCGCAACCGGCAAGAGATTCAGATCAGTTTCTACCGAGCGCGAATGCACGACGCGACGATCGGCTCTTGAGGCGCGTATTTTTAAATTAATTTAAGGTTTGTCCAAATTGGCCACATAAACTAAAAAAAAAATTGCCGCATTACTTGTCAAAAACAGTCCCTATTCCCCGAAAAAGTCCCGCTGAAAGAACCAAAGATATGCTTAAATTGCTCAATTCGATCTTGCATTTTTTTTGGTTCTTTCAGAAGGATTTTTTCGGGGAACAGGGGCTGTTTTTGACAAGTAATGTGGCAAACTTGGAAAGATACTAGGTACTGTATTTAACTTTAGTCTAATTTCAGTAGGTACCTTTTGCATTGATCCATCTGGCAAGCGATAATCCTCCTCCCTAATAATGTCACTTTCTGCAAAATGCTTAGCACAAACCACAGAATATTTTGAGGGTGACCATGCCTCCCTAGGAATATTCCTAAGCCATTGGGCTTTAAGGTTTTCATCCTTTGGAAAGGTAAAAACAGATACCGCTAGTTCTCCTGCATCAAGACAAGTTTTATAATTGGATTTGCACCCAGGCACACAACAAGGACTTGGCATGGTAATTTTTGATTACAACAACAACTTTCAATAAATTGTTTTAAAAAGCACCACAAAATGTTCATTCGCCGCCGAATTTGCCGCCATTTTTTGAAGAAAGCATTTAACCTCGTTTATAACCCGGCGAATTTTTCACCCACGGATATTTGTTTTTACGCAATGTCTACGGAAAAAAATTGTCCCGGTAACTTACAAATCTCACGCAGTAAGACTTCTCACAACTTTAGTCTTTAACTAAATACTATTTTCTTTCAAAAAAAACGGATTTATTTACAAAAACATAACAGAGCAACAGGTCAATGAACGTAAATCATATTGCTAAACGTCTATCGATCGATCTGAAACCAGGGTTGCCAGATTTCCTTGTTCACGGCTTGTTAAGTAGAGTCGGGCTGTGTCTATAGTATAAAAGATAATTTTTTTCTCCTCGTTCTTTCAGGTTGATGTCGACGAGTGTGAAGACCTCGCGATGGAGTACAACATTTCCTCCATGCCTACCTTTGTTTTTATCAAAAACCAGAACGTCATTTTCACGTTTTCCGGCGCCAACTACGACAAATTGAAGGCATCCATCTTAGCACACCAATAGAGCTACATATATTCCTATAATATACTATATTTAATGTTTTTTAAAATGTGTGGTCTTTTAGATCTAAAAGCGTTTTGAAAATTATTTTTGCTAACAGTTTTTTTTATCAGTTATTAAATGTGGCTGTTAGACAGTAATATCATTTCATTAAAAATTCTTCAAAACTTTTATTTTGTTCATTGTGTTATTTTATTTCTTGAGATTGAGTGATTTTTTTATTAAAAAACTGCTTAAAATTATGTATCTATATGAAAGAAACTGTTTAGATTCATATTTTTTCATTAAATATGCCTACTTATTAATTTTGTAATATTACATACTTATACAATAAATTTTATGATGAACTTAGTTAATAGTAATATATACCTATACATTCTTTGTAGTGCCTATATTTGAGTGTTTTGTACACAAGTCTAAAAAATGTTTGCTTATTATGAAGTTGTACACTTTAAAACATTGAAATTAAAGGATTATTAAAACATGTTTTTACTCTTGTTCCTTCTTTATTAACTCATTTATTCTACATTATATATTACAATTATATTAATATACCTAATGTCTCTCCTATAGATCGGAAGGGATATTTCGACACATATACATTACAGACAGTGAATTGAATTGACAGATAACTGTCACTGTCATATATGTCCTCTTGTTGGATACCTTATTATTATATTTAGGATACAAAAAATATACTCTCTATTTTTTTCATTTATTATACTTATGATACTGACAAAAACTAAAGTTATATTTTATTATATTTATGATACAAAAACCAATTCAAACAATAAAGAAAATTAACAGGAGAACACACGTAACTCTGACTAGCATATTTAATAACATCGGCCACTTTCATTTCGACCACTTGTATATTTTCGTTTTCTTCTGAGCATCCTCCACCTTCATGGACTCTCTGATCCTCAGTAACTTCACAGTAGAACAATGTAGTTCGAGCACCGGTAGTTTCTGATAAATTACAGAAATTCGTTATTCTCTCTAGACTTTCTATGGGAACTTTATACCCACATTCTTCCAGAATTTCTTCTTGTGCTAGATTTTCAGGGGGCAAACTTTTGTCATCTAGTCCAGCGCAGAATTCCAAGGAAAATGCCAGATGTGCTGGGTATTTTGATACGTCTATTTTTCGATTTAGAGTCAGTCTCTCGCATTCATCTATGTTCTGGAAATATACTGAAGCTCTGAACTGTTTCACTAACACCAAAACATCATTGGTTTTGTTGTAGAGAATGATGATAACTCCGTTACGTTCCAGAAAAACATCAAAGCTTTTATTTCGATTGTTCTGAGTATATTTTAGCGTACCTGGAGTGGAGTAAATCGTAGGAATGAACTCCGTTACGAATACATCTGATATATCTTCCATTATTGTTAAAAACTTCTTACCAAGTTAACAGTCAAAACATAAGAAGAATACTGTTGGTGTAACAAGGCTTTCTTCAATAAAATAAAATCTCTTATAGATAAAGATTTAAATGGACTTATACTATCTGGAAATTTACTTTTTTCACAGATTGTTAACACTCATTTAACAATATTTACTAACAGAGATACAGCAATAAAATTCCACAAATGATATCATTTCTTTCAAAAATTTGGCACACGTGGCAAAAGATCAAGTCTTTTAATTATCAATAATTAAAAATCAGTCAAATATTTGCCAGTGGCGCGAAGTTTATATATCCCAATATTAATTAAGAAATGCACTTACGTAGGTATGAATAAAGGATAAACAAGCCAGATGAATAAAAAACTAATAAACCTGTAATAAAGTCAATAAAGATAAATTACTTGAAATGAAATAACAAACTAAAATTAAATAATAAAAATTATTTATGAATTATTTTATACAAAAATAAAGGACCACAGATTCATAGATCAGCTGATGAACTGTAGAAAGGACTTTTTCGATACTTCGCGGCTACCAGAGATATAGAGATAGGAAGAATGAATTTGTTATGCTTGTCTTGGCCATTGTAATCGCCATCATATTCGCGCTGAGGTCTACATACAGGGGATATCAATAAGTAATAATGATATTTAATCCACTACAAAATTAATTTTATATATGATTTTCCATAAAGTATTTATTCTGTAGCTTGTCAAACGCCCAAAGATTTTCAAAGAATTTTAAGGAACCTCATAAATACTCTATGGATCTTTCTCATAAAAAATCAAAACAAGCAGCAGGAACTGACGTTTCAACTTCGTCCTTTAAAAATCCGTTTAGAGAAAATAATGCGATAGATAAATCTATTTTTGAGTTTTAGAACGCACAACAAATAACATGGTCATTTTACAATTAGAAGAACAGGTATTTCTCATTTAACTCTCTACTTTTAATTTTTAGGTTAATTATATTTTTTTTTACTTTATTTTTATTTCAGCCCCTTATTATACAAGCAATATTTGCCGGGGCTGTAGATGAGGCTCAAGACTTAATGACCCATCCCGATTACTATGCCAATTGTACAGGTATTTCTCCTTAAATTACAAACAATCTTATATAAGTTATTGATTTCACTAAAATTTTTTAGATTGTGAAAAAAGGACTCCCTTACATGCTGCAGCCTTTAAAGGCGAAGCCCAAATCGCAAATATATTACTAGAAAACGGAGCCCGTGTCAATGCTAAAGACAGTAAATGGATAACGCCTTTGCATCGGGCTTGTGCAGTAAATTCTGACGAAACTGTAGATATATTAATCAAATATCAAGCTGATGTGTGTGCTCGAGACAGGTAGCCTTTGTATTAGCATTATTATGTCATAAACACCACTGTATTCAATTTTTTTTAGATTGTGGCAAACACCTCTTCATATAGCAGCCGCTCATGACGCATATAATTGTGTAGAAAAACTTTTAAACATAGTTCCAAACCCAGATGTTACTGATAGATCTGGAAGAACTGCACTTCATCATGCTAGTTATAATGGAAACACTTTTGTAGCAGAATTGTTAATAAACCGAGGTTGCATAGTAAATGCTTGCGATAAAAAGGATTACAGGTAGGTTGAGAAATTTAATTTTTAATAATATGTCTATATTTCTTCAAAAAATGGTTAGGAATATTTTAAACGAAAACAGGCTTTTTTAAAAGGCAATAAAAAGAGCTCTTAATAATAAAGGAGAGTACAGGCCAAGTAAGTGATTTTTATTGATTTTCCTATATTGTTCTTTAACAGACCTCTCCATTGTGCTGTTCAAATGGGCCACATCGATACAATCGAAGTACTGCTACGTTATGGTGCCGATATAAATGCAAAGGATAGAAATCAGTATACTCCTCTACATGTAGCTGCAGCCAACGGTAATGAAACACTAAAAAACCGTTTTTAAATCAAATTAATCGAATACATTTAGGTTATGAAGCTGTCACAAGACTATTACTGAGCTCTGGAGCTGAAGTAAATGCTCAAAATGCATTTGGCAACACTGCCTTACACGTGGCTTGTCTGAACGGTCATTTAATCTGCTGCGATGAACTGGCCTTAGGGGGAGCGGATGTTGAATCTCTTAATTTTAGAGGTTAATATTTAAAATTGGTTAATATGAAAGACTATAATAGATATCTAAATAAAGGGAAACAAAACTGTTTAAATTTTATCTCGATCAAACATCGTTTTCAGTAAAAATCGATGATGCCAAATTTCTGCGGATTGCGTTAGATCTACGGCTCGTGTTTAAAAACGAAGTAGGTTATTATTATTACTAATGTACAGGGTGGTCGAAATTAGTCTGTTTTAACAGAGAAAACTTATTTCCTGCCTAAATGCCTAGAGCAAAACCGACATAGATGTCATGGGCTCGATTTCTGAGATACATTTAATGGCGTAACCCGCCTGTTGATATTTTCACTGCCAACAGAGATACAGGGTCTTTTTGAATTTTTTACCATTTTCAAAATTCCCCATAACTTTTTTATTTCGCGGAATAATAAAATTCTGTAAAAACATTCTTTTAAGCATAATCCAGTGGCGTAGTCAGTTTTTTTCTATACTTGCTCTTTTTGTCAGAAATAATAAAAAATACAATTTTTTAAATTGAAATCGTAGTTGGCTATGAACTTAAAAAAATGCTGGCGTTTAACCCTTTCCATCGATATAAAGTTATGGGTATCTATTTCTAATAATGAGATAAATATTAGGGTTTTATCTTTATATCGAAGCAGGCTTTGATTTTGAGTTGACCTATTTGCCTAATTATTTTTTATTACAATTTAATATTCTATATCATTATTTATCTGCATAATTAAAGACTTTTGAAAAGGTAAATTAACATTCTATTATTATTAATAATAGTAATTATTAGTAGTAGTAATTTTACAACTGAAATCGATACAATAAACTAAGAACAAAACTAAAAAAAATATTATTTGAGATATGATTTTGGTGCTTAATTTGACATGTTCAAATTAAGCACCTTCTTGTTGAATACACAATAAACATCTTGCACACAGAATTACAAGAATTTATTAGACGAAGTGGTTTTATAAGTAAAAAAGCTTGCCTAGTATCCTTCTGCAATTATTCTTTCGTCCCAATGCAATGGTTCTTCCAATATATATAAGGTCTTTTAATTTCCCCCAAAGTCGAAAGGAGTTAAATCACAGGACCTAGCAGGCCAAGATATGGGCCCTTTGTTCCAACCCCAATTCTCTCTAAATTCTCCATTTAATAGTTCAGTTGTAACCCTGGTGTTTTAATTGTAATTGGTAATACTAATATAGAATGTTGATTTACCTTTTCAAAAGTTTTTAATTATGCAGATAAACAATAATATAGAATATTAAATTGTAATAAAAAATAATTAGGTAACTAGGTCAACACAAAATCAACGCCTGCTTCGATACAAAGATAAAAAACTTAATATTTCTCTCATTCTTAGAAATAAATACACCTAACTTTATATCGTTGGAAAGGGTTAAACGCCAACATTTTTTTTAAGTTTATAGCCAATTATGATTTCCATTTAAAAAATTATATTTTTTATTATTTCTGACAAAAAGAGCATGTATAGAAAAAAACAGACTACGCCACTGGATTGTGATTAAAAAAGTGCCTTAAGAACGTTTTTACAGAATATTATTATTCCGCGAAACACAAAAATTATGGGCAATTTTCCAAATGGTAAAAAATTCAAAAAGACCCCGTATCTCAGTTGGTATTGAAAATATCGGTGTGTACGCCATTAAATGTATCTCAGAAATCGAGTTCATGACTTCTATCTCGGTTTTGCTCTATCTAATCAGGAAATACGTTTTCTCTGTTAAAACAGACCAATTTCGACCACCCTGTACAGTCATTATAACAGCACGCCACTAGTAAACCGAAAAGACAGAAATGCACACGAAACTCAACAGCGTTGCCATATTTGTGTCCAAACTCTTTTTAACTCATATTAAAGGGTTAAAATATGTATGATTGTAAACAAATAGAGTTTGATGAGTAGTGTTTTGTCTCCTCTTTATTCAGATGTCTTTGGTTAATATTATACCCTCAGATGCAAAAAAACGCACAGAAAAAAATGTATTCAAATTTATAATCAATATGTAATTATCAATACGACGTTACGACAATAGTCACCTAAGCCATCTTGTCATATTTAAAAATAACATTAATACGTAATGATAATTGAAAAAATTGCAAAATATTGGTGTCAAGTTCATTTCGCTCTTAAAAATTAACCAAGCCATGTATTGACACGAGCCAAAAAACAAAATACTGAGGAGTCATGGTTCTGACCGAAAAATAATGTTTTTGGAAAATTTACTCACGAAATTATTTCACAGGGTGTTTTAAAATTAGAGTAAAAATCAACCCTTTGATTAACCCTGTATAATAATCCAAATACTAAAGTTTATAGAAAACTGAGTTTACGAATTAAAGCTGATCCATTTATATCCTTGTTTATATATTCTTAAAGTTGGTCAACCTCTCGACAAAATGTGCTGCCTCTGGTGAACAAATCGTAAAGCTTTAAAGGAATGAAGCATGTGATTAGGGGCGGAGTCAAAAATATCGATTATTTGCGGTATTTCCCTCAGAGTAATGTAATAATATAGCTCGGATTTTTGCGAACTATAATAGGGCTCAGCTGATTAAGAAATTTAAACAAAACTATTATTTCATTGTTGATTTTCGATTATTTTTGCTGTTATTTTAAGGATTCTAAACCGTATTTAACAAAGAAATAACAATTTTCAATATGTTGGTACATTAATGCTAATTACTGGTAATTATTAATATTTAAAAAAGTTACATACACTTACTTTTATTTCGATTTGACCCAGGGCTATAAAATTTTATTTCATTCTTCGATCATTTTATTCTAAATTGAGGTTTTACGAATTTAAGGTAAATTTTTTTTTTGAAAACAAAACGTTTATACATTCTTGATTAATTTTTTCTTAATTAAAAATAAAACTTGGCACTTGTTTCAATAATATTATTTGACATTTAAATAAATATTATGTACTTAATACACCATTTAAATCTTTATTACACGAAATAAATCTTTCTTAGCGTAAAACATGGTCAGAGTCAAGTTTGCTTTAACTTTGTACCATATGAAAAAAAAACGGCGTCCAGTTGGCAGGGAAATGACGATCGACGACATTTCCCACATAAATTTACATATAAAATGACAGCGATCTTCATTTCATAGCCATCGCTGACGCCGTTTATTTTCGATCAAGAATTATAAAAACTGAAAATATCATTATGTTTTAACTCACAAAGCCTGTTAAACCATAAAACTTTCTAGTAGGTATATATTGTTTTATTAGGAGTAAAATGACAATTTTCGTGGCGAGACTGTAGGTTTGACATACAGCCGAAGCACAAAAAAGTCATTTTTACCGAATAGAACATGCTATTTTTTTAAACGCCACAAATAATGTTTTAAACAATTTCAAACGTTCCAAATAATATAAAAATATTTAAAACTCATACCTTTTAAGTAATTATCATTATACAAAAAAACAAGGTATGATATTGCGCAGGTTGGTCACCACGTCACAGGTGATAAACGGCAATATTGGTCGGCAAGCTCCACGCGCCAATTTCAAATTTTCAAACAGATGACACATAATAAATGTGTATAATATGTCATAACTTTTCAAATGTCCAGCTCGATGATTTTACATAACTTTAGGGGTTATTTAATTCTTCCCTATTTTAGGTCTTTTTTATTAGTGGCAATTCAACAATACGGATATTTTGTTGTATGGCATATGACGTCACAGGCGATATGCGCAAACTGAACGAAATTGGAGACGCTATCGACCATACCTTGTTTTCAAGTTTTCTTTGTACCATGAGTAATTATATATCGAGAAACTATGGTTACGGCTCGTTGAATTTGAGACTTATGTTATTTTAATAATATATTTTCATACTTTTATGCTTAGGCGTAAAGTGCTTTACTTTTATGCCTACGCGTTAAAATGACTTTTTTATATTGTCAATCACGTCGCAAAAATTAATACTTTTGTGACGTTTGAAAAAAAAATAATATTTTGAAACTAACTGGTATATTTTTCTGCCATAACTAAGTTATTATACAGTGGTAAATGATAAGATCATATTGAAATACGCTACTGGGTAAAAAAAATTGGCTAAATTTTATCAATAATACTCCATTTCAAAAGTTATTTTCCAAAATAATTAATATTTTTTAATAATTGATTGCAATTAATATTATTTGACTAGTTTAATTTGATTAATTAATAAGACTATATTAATTTCATTTAAAATAAATTTGATCAGATTTTTTTCGTATATTCAACTACCAGAAAAGTAGAAGGAAGATTATAATGTATCTATCACAATATTTAAAAGAATTACTACAATAATTATTAGAAGAACAAAAAGAAAAAAATACCCAAATACCTTCACCTTCTACTCAACTACAAAATAAATGAATATAATCTCTAACACTACACAAACTACTTCTTGTATTCTACACTAAACAAATTATCAAACTTATTAATTAATCAAACATAAAGAAAAATTAACCAAATTACCCCTTCACCTACTACTTAACTTCAAAATAAAATATAAAAACACTACTAAATTTCTTCTGGTAGTCTACACTAAACATTATAATCAAACTTAATAAATTAATCTAATTTTACATTACAACTACAAAGAAACAACTACAATAATTATTAGAAGAAAAACAAAAAGAAAAAAATACCCAAATACCTTCACCTTCTACTCAACTACAAAATAAATGAATATAATCTCTTACAAGAACACTACACAAACTACTTCTTGTATTCTACACTAAACAAATTATCAAACTTATTAATTAATCAAACATAAAGAAAAATTAACCAAATTACCCCTTCACCTACTACTTAACTTCAAAATAAAATATAAAAACACTACTAAATTTCTTCTGGTAGTCTACACTAAACATTATAATCAAACTTAATAAATTAATCTAATTTTACATTACAACTACAAAGAAACAAGAAAATATCTTAAAACTACAAGAAATAAAACTTCGATACGTGCGACCAGTATAATAGATCAAGCGGACAAAGAATATAAAATACTTTAAAATGTGCATTCAGAAAGAAAAAATATCTGGAAAATTATCTAAACAAACATTTTTTTTTTTTTCTTATCAGTGAAAAACATCGACCTCGTCGGCCTTGCGGAATTTGTCGGGTATTTACAATGGTCGAATTGTATAATTACCAGCTTTTATAGCATATCTAATAGACAAAAAGTATCTGGTCGATTAGTAACCAATTGGCACAGTCCGAAAATTATCGATTTTTATTTTCTCTGTTTTTATTGGCCGCTTCAAAATTCAGAGTAACAAAAAATATTTTTCTCTAGTAAAAGACTGTGAAATACGCCCCGCCATCTGGTGCTTTACATCCATAAACGTCTTAGGTTGAGCTACTTTAAAAATTCATATACAAGGATTTATATACAGTTTGCTAAAAAAATCAGAAAAATAGAGCTAAAAATAAAAAAATATTACACTTTGAATTTTACAAAAAAAATTCAGTTGCCTTTTTTGCATCTGAGTGTAGTAATAATGAAGATTATAATTATTGTTTATTGGTGTCTTATAGGACAGACTCCATTGCATGTAGCAGCTTCTTCGACGCATGGAGTTGATTGTCTGACATTTTTATTAGCCAAAGGTGTTGATATCAATAAATGTAGTGCTGATGGCAGAACGCCTTTGCATATGACTGCCATTCATGGTAGATTTACCAGAAGCAAAACGCTGATTGATCGTGGTGCTTATATCGATTGTGCCGATAAAAATGGTTCGACTCCTTTACATATCGCTGCTCAGTACGGGCATGATATACTATCAAATACTTTGTTAAGTGTTGGGGCCAGCCCTACTAAAAAAGGGTATTTTTTTTGCTTCCCGGGTATTTGATTTTATATTATTTTTGTGTATGTTTTGTGTAGGTATGAAGGAAGGACGCCGTTACATATGTGTTGTTTATCTGGCTATGTAGAGTGTTGTAGGAAATTTTTACAGACTGGAGTGGATTTGAATGAAAAAGATGATAGTGGAAGAACGCCTAGTCATTGTGCTGCTTATAAAGGGTAAGTAAATAAATATCAGTAGAATTTATTTTGCAAAATCTAACAATTAAACTAATAGAAAAATAATATTTTAATTGTTATTTCATTGTTAGAGCAAACCTGCGTTTGCGAGTTTAATCTTTAAATATTATACTAGGTATAGTAAACGCCACGAATGTTTGGGAGTGATTTATCGCTTGATGAAGTTAGAATCGACAGGCGCGCTATCATTTTTACATTAAGAACGTAAATTTTTACCGCAGACGTAGGTTTTTAAAGACCCGGTCTAATCATCTGCCTGCGCTCCCCCTACTTATTCTAAAATGTTAACGTGATTGACAAAGACAATACTATATCGCGTTTCTTTGATTGATTCGTTTTTTTGCGTCAGTCCATTGATGTGCTTGCAGTGCGACCGATGGGGCATTCCATTTTATATTTATAACCAAATATATGTTTTGACAAGACTTTGACAGTTAAAACAACAAATTACAACAGATTATATATTGATTATTATATGACTTGAAACACCACGGCACTGGAATTAAGTTTTATGTGACCTTGAACCGATTAGTTCACATGATAGCGACCTTTGAATAAGAAGACTAAGGAAGGAGCATATCAAAATCTTAGGTACACCGCGATGGGCCTCAAATATGGCCGACTTAAATTCCGGTTTATCAGTGTCGTTCTAATTTTATTTAAAAAATGTAAAACTATGATGTAGGGTAGACGTGGGGTAGACTCAATAATTCGTTGTTTTATTTTACGTTGTGAATAAATGTTGGTAGTTATTAAAATTGTTATAAAAATATATAATTGTAATAAAAATAGATAAGTTATAATAAGTATTTATTAACACAAACATCCGATACGCTACTGAAGCAGGTAAGTCAAATTAACATATCTAAATTCTTTGACATTAAATCTTTGACAAGTAATAAATAAAAGCTAAAATGCAAGAAAAATATATAATTTAGTTAATTTAAGTGAATTTCATAAATGATCGGTTTACTACACGTATGTATATTATACCTATAGTCACTTACTAGCGAAAAGTTGTTCCATTATTTCACTCAATTTTTGCCGAGATCTACCGCACGCTACACAACCAACTATTTTAGAGTCTTTTTCGATAAATCGCGATAGTGTCACTGTTAATTTAAGTTCTGCCACAATTTCCATCTAGATTTACTACCTTTATACAACTATCAGTAGTAGAATAAATAATAAATAACATAAAATAAGCTCCGTAAAGACTGACAAATCCACAAAATTTCAAATCAAATTCAAATGTGTCAAATGAATCGTCAAACAGAACTGTCAAGGATCCCCACCTTAGAGTGCTTTTATGGTGCTTTTTCCGCCTCCTTCCTTAGTCTTCTTATTCAAAGGTAGCGACCGATGAATCACTCCCAAACATTCGTGGCGTTTACTATATATAATTGTCTCTGTATGTTTTGTATAGCTTAACAGTTTGAGTTAATAATAATCAGTTGTTTAGTTTTTATTATTAGTATTATTAAAACTTTATAACTGCTACAACTACACATACCTACCTACTCTTCTACGGTTCTCAATTATCTAATTCTTTAACCAATTCTGAAAAAATCTAAAAGAATTATTTTTATAAGATGGCTCACCCCTATAACTTTTTTATTTATTTTTTTAGACAAAAAAGACAGATTTGATACGATTGATTGACGTATTCAATTGATTTGTATTTGATCCTGTTTCACCATAAATAACTACAATTATTGATTTTTTGACACCCCCGGTATTTTTCGAGGTATTTTTATTACTTTATTCCATAGAAAAATACACTCTGAATAGAATGACATATCATATATCAACTATCAAGTGTGGTGGTACCACAGATTAGGTGTACTATACCCTGCTGGCAAGCGAACCTTTAGGTCGGCGTTTACATGTATAGGAGTGAGTCGTTATGGCAATCTAGTAAGTCGGAGTGAGCAAAAATACGAAGTATTTATTACATAACTACTTAGTCTGACGCTAGATTCCATGCGCTTGGGAAAATACTCGCCTTCTATCTTTATTCAGTACATCTTATTTTACTAAGCGTGTTGACCGTACTCTTCGTACACATGAAAACCGGCACCCAAGACCAGAAATGCCGACCCTTAGTATGTATACAGATAAAAATCTTGTCCCTAATTCGCGGAACGAAAATTGTTTTTTATGACGATGAGCAAACGAGTAAAATTTCCTGTGCGCAAAAATAAACTCGCGTTTAAACAGCGTAATAACTGGGCCGGTCACAATTTGCCGACGCTGTGCACAATTTTAGAAGCCATAAGTGGGCGTGCTATGTGCGCAAACTAGTAACCTAACTAGTGCGCGACTCCGAAAATTGGAACCACGAAAAACAATGCTTTTGACGATAAGTTTATAATCTGTATAATCTGTGGTGGTACCAAATTATTCTTAAAAAAATGTTTTTTTCTAAATGGGCCACCTTCGTTCCATTTAAAAAAATTGATATATGATTAAAAATACGATTTGGGCACTGGCCAGGACAAGACACGAAAAACAATAGACGAACAAATCTATTTTTCCAAGGCATCTTGATTAAAAATTAGTGTTTTTAACACAGCCATGATATTCTAGATTGAAATTTAAAATATCATTTTTTAAGCGAAAATGTCAAAAGTGGCCATATCATATGCCATTCTATTCAGAGTGTCATTTTCTATTGAATAAAGTAAAAAAAAATACCGAGGATGCCATTTTAAAATCGAAAGTTGTAGTCATTTCCCGTGAAACAGGAAGTGGCCAAAAACAATTGAATACGTCAATCGCTCCTAATTTATATCATATATAGTAACAAACCAAATCTCCTTTGAAAAGGTCTGCTAGTAATTTTTTTTAAGCTTATAGTATCACAACACAATTTATTTAAACCAAAAATAAACGAATGACAATGTCAAGAAATAAACAAATAAATGTGGCACCTTAATATTTTTTACAGCAGAGTTACCATCTGAATTCCGAGAAATTTTAATTCCAGTTAGTCAGCCCGGCGCCGAATACGTCAATGGTTGGCAACAATGAATTTAATAATCGTGCCTTGGATTACGTAACTAAAAGTTTAATTGGTATTGCTTATCTTTAATTTCAAGTTTCTAAAATCAAACAAAAATTCATACCCACCTGCGTCCGTGCGTCGTTCTTCGTTCCGTCACTCCAGGCATATTGAAATATCACCTGTCATTTTTGAAATAAACCAATATGACTGGTTAAAAACAACAACAGTTAACAAAAAAATTTAAGTACTTTTTTTAGTAAAATAAATGGATTGGTATGGGTGTCATAGTGTCATCTGCCTTTTTTCTGTCATCGTCTGTCGAAATCTAAGTCTAAGGTTACTATATTAAACAGGTTGCCTCGTAACTTTTAGACCAACAGGAACGAAGCGGCAACTACGTCACAGGTATGCTACAGAACGTATAAAATCATAGATAAAGGAATAAAAAATAAAATGCAACGGACAAAGAGAGATAAATGGGCAATGTAATAAAGAAAACAAACATCAATCAACTGAAAACTGTGGATGCCATACACAATGATTATCGATTCAAAAATGCACTGTCGGACTATCGGCAGTTTTTATCCCTTTATCTATGATCGGCCGCATACCTGTGACGTAGTTGATGACGTTTCCGATAACGGCGGATCGAGTTACAAGACAACCTTATCTTTTAATAACCTTGCCCCGACTCGTAAATCAGAGTATAGTACAAAATATAATTATTGTTTTAGATCAATTGAATGCCTGGATCTCTTAACAAGTAACGGTGCCGATTTTAAATTAAAAGACAACTTTGACAGACTGCCTTTACACTACGCCGCAGCCCAGGGACATTTTCAGTGTGTCTTCACGCTGGTAGGTATAGGTAGCCCTATAAACGATAGAGATATAGAGGGATGCACTCCACTGCATTTAGCTGCAGCTTACGATCACCAGGCTAAGTGCGTAGAGTACTTATTGAGTCACAAAGCTGATACTAAGATCACCGACAATAAAGGTACGTTAACATTTAGAGAAAAATTATTAGATAAGTCTCATTCAGGAGCCTCGAAATTAGTGATTTCAGTAAGCATAGAAGTTTGTTCCTGTAAGTTCAATGTAAGCATTCAGAACGTCAAAATTAGTGGTAGTAATTTTCAGTTAGTAGAAAAAAGTTAACAAACTTGTAACTTTTGCCACTAATTATACTTTAAAATTTGCGAGAAATATCATTTTGACCTTTGATTATCATCTGTCAATAGAAATTGTGGTTAGAAATTAAAATTTTATTGTTTTATATGCTAATTATTCTCTATGGATACAACTGTCTACCGCAAGCTGTTGCTAGAATCTTCTATTAATCTTAATTGTATTTTTTGACATTATTGATTGTAAACTCTTAGGTATAATTCAATTTAGTAGTTTATTTCACTAAGTTCGAGGTTTTAATGAAGCATTATGATTAATTAATATTTTTATACTTATCTTAGGATTTTCTGCACTTCATTATGCCATAGCTTGTGGTAACATTGAAGCAGTTAAGTTGTTAATAGACATTGTTGAGGATACGGTGTTTCATAAAGGAGACGGATCTCCTGACGTCACACCACTCCACCTAGCGGTAAGTGATGTAAATGTTGATAAAAAAAACGTTACGTGTAGACGAGGCTTTACATAGAAATAATACAATATGATCGAAAAAAAAACCGTGTCAGCGATGTCTATGAAATAACGATCGCTGTCATTTTATATATAAAATTTTTGGATCATATGGTATTATTATACCTTTTTCCTTTTGTATAAGTATATACGTTTTTACAGGCTAAACTTGGAAATGTAGAAGTCCTAAAATCAGTTCTTACTAAATATAACGACGTTAACATACAGACAAACCAAGGTAAGTACTTAATATTAAAAACTACAACATTATACAGGGTATTAAACGTATATTTGTAGGTATAACACCGCTGATATTAGTTGCCAGAGAAGGGCACATCCAAAGCATTCATTTCTTGTTAAGATTCGGTGCCAAAGTTTCACTCAGTGACAACATAAATTTAATGACAGCCGTGCATTACAGTGCCAAAAATGGACACTCGCTATGTTTGACCCTGCTGCTTCAAAACAGCGAGAGTCAAGAAGTTGTCAATATGCTTGACAGGTAATTTTTGACAACAAAGAAAATTCAATTTTTTTGTACATTACACACTCCACAATGTGATATTACACAATTGTTCAAGTCCCTACTTAAAAAAAACAAAAAAATACACGTAAATATAACATTTGTTATTAATGGACTTGGTCACTTTCTCTTGTACACTAACTATATTCCTATTTGGTCATTTTAGAAGTACGGTCTGGATTTTAACGTGTAAGACAGAGAATAATATAAATGACCGGTTGTTGACAGAGAGAGACAAAATCAAAAGTGGCATACAGTGTTACCGGCTTTAACATTTGTAGGAAAATTTGTGTAGAAAAAAATTAACTATGTTAAAAACTTTCATGTATACTTCTGAAATGAAGATTATATATCTAAACTAAATATAATTTATTACATCTGTAGTAAAATGAGCAACTAATTGTGAAAAATAAGGTTCCAACCCTAGATGCAACATTAAACGCCTACTTGTGCGGTTTGAACTTTTGATGCAAAATCCGGCAATACCGCATAGAAAAAATGTATCCACCCAACTTTTATCTCTTTTTAATACATTTGATTTTCCATTAAGCTACCCACATCACTGTCTTACACGTTAAAATCCAGACCAGACAGAAAAAATTACCACATCGGTATGTTTCAGTGTCTTAATAACAAATTAAGAGTCTTGAGAAAAATATTTCATCATAAATCATGAATAATATGGATCTTCTGGTTTTAAATAAATCAATTTTCAACTTTATTGAAATGATTTTTAGGCAACAACGTACAGCATTAATGTTAGCAGTATCTGGAAACCATATCGAATGTGTTCAAGCCCTTTTAAAATGCGGGGCAGATCCTAATATCGTAGACAAGGACGAACATTCTTGTTTATTTCGAGCGGTAGTAGTTTTTCGTTAATTTTTCTTTATTTTTAAAAATATTAAATAACATTTCAGGTAGTCAATGGTCAGCACGATGTCGTGCAACTTCTGCTAGTGAACAAAGCGGAAGTTAAAACAAGAGACGTCAACGGTAAGACGGTTCTTCATTTAGCAGCTGCGTGCGGGCATTTGAAGTGTCTACAGTTAATTACCGATTATATGGAAGAGGGAGACATTTTAAGTAGAGATAATCAAGACTGTACTGTTCTGCATTGGGCGTGCTATCATGGTGAGTGTCACTGTTCTCCTTTCTTGAGTTATAACTTATCATACAGACTCAGGGCTTTGAGAAAAGCCAGTATCTGAGACCATTTATATAACTAATACTAATTAATAACTACTAATATATAAACTTCAATAATTACTAATAAACAATATAATATAATTTAATTGACTGTAAATTGAATTGTAATTTCTGTATTATTAATCCGGTAAATGATGGAGAAAAGCAATTGTGATTGATTAACATTTTGAATAATGACAAGTGACATCTGTCTAAAAAAGACAGCGATTTAGAGTAGGATAACGCCTCCCTTAATACAGCACATCCTTGCCACATCTTTCGCATGACGTATAAATGTTGATATTTTATTTATATTATTTGTTTTATAGGACATATGAACTGTGTAGAACATTTGCTGTCAAAAAACGTGTTCAAGGAGTTGATAGGAAACTGCTATTCCCCTGTACATTGCGCAAGGTAAATTTACTCTCTAATTTTTTTAAAAATACATGTTTTTTTTTAATTTTTAACTATATTTCACAGTTTTTCTGGTTCTGAAATGTGCCTGGAACAGTTGATAAATTATTTTGGTAAAGAAGTGGTGCATTTGCGTGATGAGAAACAAAGAACTCCCTTACATATAGCCGCCGTTCACGGTCACACAGAATGTGCCAAGTTGTTACTAAGTAATGGGGCACAGTCTCAGGTCGTAGACGAGGAAGGGAGGACTCCGTTTATTGTTGCAGCTCAGTATGGACAATCAAATGTTGCAGGTAAGAAGGAGATATATTTTTAACTAACGTTATATTTCGTGTATTTTTTTTATTTTCTAGAACTGCTTCTGACGCACAACATAGATTTAATGGCCTGCGACGGATGCGGCAACACTGCCTTACATTGGGCGTGCCTTAAGAGACATTATCACACTGCCTTGTTGATTTTGGAACACTGCCTTAACCCCGATATGGTCAACGTACCGAATAGTGATAGAAAAACGTAAGTAAATTTTACTGGTAGGAATTCTTTACAATTTAATAGTATATAGCCAGGCATACGCATACTAAGGGCTGGCAAATGTTAGTCTTGGGTCGAGATTTCCGTATGTAAGAAGAGTACAATGCGTTTATAATGTACTGAACAAAGACAGAACAGTAAAAACTGTTCTCTCAGTAAATACGTTGCCAAACGTTTGAAATAAACCGAGAAACTGTGAGATTCGTCGCGGTCCCAATCAGTACCATGTCCAGTACTTAAAATTCTACGATTCTACGATTTAATTACGTCTCGTGATACTTTATTTGTTTATTTATTAACGAGTCGTCGTAATTTTTTCTATAGCCTGTAAATTTTTAAGTGCAAGTTAGGAACACTTGCACTTTTGGTAAAAATAAGTGGAATTGAGTTGGTGTTCGACAGTGGTCGCGCTATTAGAACTGTGAATTCAAAAATCGATATCTCGAAATCCATTAGAAATAAATGATTGTATTTTTTTTTTCAAAAGCTTTTTTAATATTTCTGCTATATTTTCTTCACAGACAGTATGTGAAAATATTTATAAATAAAAAAGTTACATGATTGCTGAAAATTGCAATGCACTTAAAGTAAATGGATGGGTTTTTTATGTATAAATTTTGAATGAAAAAAAACAAGCCTATCGAATTTTTCTTATTTAAACATCTTGTAAAAGATCCGAGCTTCAAAATAAAAAAAAAAGTTTCAATATCTAAAGTAGTTCTTGAGTTATCGCGTATTATGTATTAAAAAGTTCAGCTTTTAAATAATCGCGATTACTGACGTTTTCTCGTTATAAAAAAATGGATACCCTAACGATATCCTTATAATTTCATTTCAGATGCTGAGAAACATATCTAGTGATTTTATCTAGTTATCTTTTCGAAAATAAAAGTCTTTTAAAAATAAGCGGTTTGCGATCGTGATTTTACTTTACTTGATAGGGAAAGCCGTACCGGAGAAATGTGGCAACGCCGCAACAGCCCACCGTCGCATTTCTCTCACTCCGACTTAATAAGATCCCTATGCGATTTACTTCCTTCCACACACGTAAATACCGACCCAAAAGTAAGAGTTGCCAGCACTGTATACTGGGCGATGCAATTTCTATGTCACACAGTATAGTTATATTTTTTTTTTGTTTTTTTCAGGCCATTACATTTAGCTGCTACTAATGGACTAGTCGATGTAACAAGAGAACTTTTGAAGAAAGGTGCTAACGTTCTAGCTATCGATAACGATGGACTGACCCCAGCTCTATGCTGCGCATCGAATTTTAATGTAGCTCAGTGCCTTGCTTTGATACTGCGAACTTTACCCGATTTTTTGGGAAAAGAATCCACACAAGCGGGTATGTATACAGGTTGTCCTATATACATGGTGAGCCTAATAGTATTCGAAAAACTTCAGCAGCATATTCTGCAGCCTAAATTAGTAAAAAAGTTTGTATAAATGTCCTAAAATGCTTCGTTTTAGAGATACAGGTCGTAAAAGTTTATTTTTATTTCGATTTTTTTCAAATAACTTCTGAACTAACGTCGATATTTGAATGAAAATTGGTGTTTGGGTATTTTTTGACATAAGAAATTTGATTTCGATGTCAATATGACTCCTACTTGTAGGGGGCGCCACCTACATATGTTTAAACCTTTGAATAAGAAGACTAAGGAAGGAGCATAATGCTATCCATGTATTCATGCATGGTGGGCGGAAAAGCGCCATAAAAGCACTCTAGGGTGGGGATCCTTGACAGTTCTGTTTGACGATTCATTTGACATATTTGAATTTGATTTGAAATTTTGTGGATTTGTCAGTCTTTACGGAGCTTATTTTATGTTATTTATTATTTATTCTACTACTGATAGTTGTATAGAGGTAGTAAATCTAGATGGAAATGGTGGCAGCACTTAAATTAACAGTGACACTATCGCGATTTATCGAAAAAGACTCTAAAATAGTTGGTTGTGTAGCGTGCGGTAGATCTCGGCAAAAATTGAGTGAAATAATGGAACAACTTTTCGCTAGTAAGTGACTATATAATATACATACGTGTAGTAAACCGATCATTTATGAAATTCAGTTAAATTAACTAAATTATATATTTTTCTTGCATTTTAGCTTTTATTTATTACCTGTCAAAGATTAGATGTCAAAGAATTTAGATACGTTAATTTGACTTACCTGCTTCAGTAGCGTATCGGATGTTTGTGGTAATAAATACTTATTATAATTTATCTATTTTTATTAGAATTATATATTTAGAACAATTTTAATAACTACCAACATTTATTCACAACGTAAAATAAAACAACAAATTATTGAGTCTACCCCACGTCTACCCTACATCATAGTTTTACATTTTTTAAATAAAATTAGAACGACACTGATAAACCCGAATTTAAATCGGCCATATTTGAGGCCCATCGCGGTGTACCTAAGATTTTTGATATGCTCCTTCCTTAGTCTTCTTATTCAAAGGTTTAAACTGATTTGAAGAGGAATGACTTTTCATTCCTACCTGTATGAAACTACTGAGTGAAAAAATATACATTTTCTGCGTTTTCTACGTTAAAAAGGGCTCTTGGCAAAAGTCGCTACGATTAACCTTTCTCAAGATATTTGCAATTTAACTTATCAATACGTGTCATTATTTACCAAAAATAATTATTTGACTGAAATGATAAATTTGGGAACTTTTTTTTAAATTAATCATAATCTTTTCTAGAAAAAAATGATGATGAAACAGTTTCTGTTGAACATTTGACACAAAAACATTTCACTCTTATAACTATCTAGTCAAAATTTTCAATTTTTGTTAATGACATATATTGATTATTTCAATTGTAAATATCTCGAGAACCATTAGCCATAGCAATTTTTACGAAGAACGTTTTTTACGTAAAAAACGGCGAAAATTCATATTTTTTCCCTGAGTAGTTTTATACAGGTACGGACGAAAAGTTATTCCTCTTTAAACCAGTTTAAAAATATGTAGGTGGCGCCCTCTAGAAGTAGGAGTCATATTGACATCGTAATCAAATTTCCCATCTCAAAAAACTCCCAAAAACCAATTTTCATCCAAATATTTTAGTTAGTTCAGAATTTATTTGAAACAAATAGAACTAAAAATGAAACATCTGCACCTTGTATCTACGAAACGAACCATTTTAGGACATAAATTTATACGAACTTGATTACTTATTTGTATCTGCAGAATATGCTGCTGTAGTTTCCCAAATTCAATTCCGACTACCCTGTATACAACTGTAACCTAACTATGATTCAGTAATCCATATAATTTTCCATTTTCCAGCGAAGAATCTATGTTCCCAACCTTCCTTATTATTCCCGAGATTCCCTAACTCAGCAAACTCCCAAATCAATAAGATCCAAACCGAAAAACCTATTCTTAGTAAAAATAGATCAAAAAAATCACAATTTCTTTCAAACCCCAATACAACCAAGCCAGACCTGAAAATTGATTCTAGCCTAGATTTTTTTATCAAAGAAGTCGATAATACTCATAGAAATAAAGACAAAGATGGAATTATTCCTAAAATACTGTTAGAAAAACGAGGTAAAGAATTACATAGGTCTGAGAATGACATTTCTATACCAAACAGCATGGACTTAAATATACACAATTCAGAAAAAATGAAAAAACAAAATTCCGCAAAAAATGACCTTGACGTGGAAGTTAAAGCTGAAAATAAAACTATAGCCAGACTTTCATGTAAAAAATGCGATTTAACGTCAAGCAAATGTTTGGACTGTCAGATGCAAGACGTCCTTAAAAAGCACGTAACAGGGAACAGTTCCAATAAAGAGTTTTTTGATTTTGTACAGAACATAACTGGTGGTAGTTTAAACGTATCTATAAAAAATAGGTTTACTAGGGTTATGAATATGTTTAAAAAAAAGTACGTTGGTAGCCCTGAAGGGAAAATGGTTGTATCAAAAAAGCCAGCGATTAACGTTGGGTGTTCGCATGGTAATATTGCCCCGAATTTTTGTACAGACAAAAATAAAAAAAGCCACAAGACAAAAGAAAAAAACGGCGTCAAGTTGAAAATAAATAAATCTCTGGAGGAATCTAGTAAGCTTGTTGAAAATAAAGCTTGTTCACGTGTGAACTGTGTTTCTAAATTATGTGATATTGATGTAGATAAAAGCGAAGATAGAATTATTGCTAATAATTGCGAAACTAAATCTCTGGATGTTTGTGATAAAAATTACATAGGTATAAAAAAAAGTCGTGCTAAAGTTTTGTGTAATATATTCTTTTACAAATATACAGGGACGTTAAAAAATAGCCGCTATAAATAGATTTCAACGTCCTAAATGTATATAAAATAATGACTTATTATTTTTTTTTTATTTTGTAGATCCCATATCTGTGTTGGACACTAGTACCATGGAACTAGCTTTAAAATTGTCGATGTCAAACATCTCTAATTTAAATAATGAGAGTAAAAATTTCGGATCAAATCATTCCAGTGATAATGAATTTTATTAACATATACATATTGCGATGTTAATTTTTTTGGTTTTGTTTTATTAAAGTCAAACTTGGTGCAAAGGGTTCGTTCAGTATATTAAATATATTTAACAGTAAACCAAAAAACAAGAGAAGTGTCTACATTATTTTAAATATAAAAATTTTATTTTATTTGGTTTGGATGTTGTAAGGTATAGAATGTTTAACCATCGTTCATCGTCACGTCATATATTTTGTCGCATTTCGTAAATTACTGCTTATTCTTTTTAGTAATTGTCATTGTCATTTGATTTGGGGTTATAATTTTATTGACGGACATCGATCAGTGTCAAAATTAGAATTTGGTTGTTTCTGTAAAACAAAATTCAAATTATTTTATTGCAATAAATACCTCAAAGATATAGCGAAAATGAACAAGCAGAGCTCATTGCTAAGCTTATAAATTATTTTTCTCGAGAAAGAGACGCTGGTAGAACGACTCTTGTCCGTGGACGCCGTATATGAAGTAAGAACAATGCAAATGTGTAATATTTCGATGTAAAATACAAATTGATAGCGTTTTAAAATAATATAGCGAGTTGCTGGATGCTTTAGAAATAAGAATTTCAACAGTCCAAAGGATTGGAATTACAGGGATCGTAACTGATGAAGAGTTCAAGAAAAATTAATAAATGCCGCAAAAAAACGGAACTTGCTCAATCAATAATATAGGAACGTACTTAACATTTTCTAAACAATATGAACTGATCTCAGACACACCTTAAAACTCATATTTGACACATAATGATGACGTAACGGGGAACGATGGCTGAACAGTCTTTCACTTCTATAAAAAATCTAAAATTGACAGACAAATCTTGGGGACGGGACGTCACGTCTGAATAACTGACACGTCTGGTAACTTTAGCTCTAAATAAATTTTTATCAACCCTTTTTGCTAAGACCTTTATTGTTAGTGATAATCCACTTTTTATGTATTTCTAAGGTCATATATACCGGGTGATTATATATTAAAAAGTGGCTCGCCTTTAGACCCTTATACCTTCTCTATTTTTTAAACAAAAATCGAGATTTGGTATGGATTGATTGACGTATTCAATTATTTTCGGTCACTTCCTGTTTCACCGGAAATGACTACAAGTTTTGATTTTTCCTCTGTATTTTTTACTTTATTTGATAGAATTTTCGCTTAAAAATAAATAGTTTTTTTTTGAATTTCAATCTAGAGTGTCATGACTGTGTTCATAACGAAAGTTTGACGCGAAGTATCAACTATGTGGTACCAAATTATTCCTAAAAAATTATTTTTCCCAAATATGCTAATGAGCCAACCTGGTTCCAATTGAAAAAAAAATAGTTATGATTAAAAATGCGATTGGTGCATCTTTTAAATGGTCAGAAACCGTCAAGAAAAACATTAGACCATCAAATGTATTTTTCCAAGCCTCCTAGGTTAAAAATTATTGATTTTATCACAACCATGGTTTAGCCACTTTAGATTGAAATTTAAAATACTATTTTTTAAGCAAAAATGTCAAAAGTTGACATACGATATGTCGTTCTGTTCAGAATGCCATTTTATATCAAATAAATTCAAAAAATGTCTAGGGTACATTTTAAAAATCAAAAGTTCTAATTGGATCCGTCAATCAATCCTGATTTATGTCATAGGCTAACATAACAAATCTCGTTTTTTATCGGAAAAAAATAAATAGGGATGAGCCACGTTTGAAAAACACCCGGGTGCGTCTCAAAAGTGGCTCACCCCTATAAGTTTTTTATTTTTTTCAAATAAAAAACGAGATTTGGTATGTTAGTATATGACATAAATTAGGATTGATTGACATATTCAAATGTTTTTTTGTCACTTCGTGTTTCACCAGAAATTACCACAACTTTTGATTTTTAAATGGTACCTTCGGTCTATTTTTACTTTATTCGATAGGAAATCATCAGATCAATTCTAATTTATGTCATATACTAACATACAAAATCTCGTTTTTTTATCTGAAAAAATAAAAAAGTTATAGGGAGTGAGCTACTTTTGAGACGCACCCGGTATGCTCTTATACAAAGGATGTTATAAATTTTAACAGAACGGAGAACTTTTAATGAAATTTGTTGTGAATATTTTTATTTATAAATGTGCTGTGAAGCCACAAAAAAATATTGTGATGGAGAAACAAGTTTGCAGAAATATAAAAAGATAAATGATCAAGGCATTATTTTTGCGTTGGGGTAACTTTATATTTATTTTTTTTTAACTGTTAATTTAAACTTTACTATATCTAAAGGCCCCCATACACTTAGTTTTTTTTTACATGGTTTTAACCGAACGGGTAGGACTGTTCAGTTAAAAACGTCGGTGTATGTGAGTGTTAAATTTATAATAAATGCCTTATTTCAAATTAGTACAATTAAATATTAAATTTATTTAGAGAAATGTGATATATACATATGAAGTGCAATGTTGAAGGACTGAAACTCGAGCGAATTAATAATAATTTTCTTTTTTTTTAATATATATATATATTTGAAATTTTGATTAAAAAGTGACTTAACACAGGGTATATGTATTACTGTCATATACTAAATTTTGTATACTAATATTCTGTATATTTTGCAAGCTTTTACTCCGATTATAAGTACTTATATTTATCAACTTTCTATAGTAACTAGTCTTCATTAAATTATTAATTTTTGTAATAAACTTTTGCATATTGTTATGGCTTTTATTTTAAATTTTAAGTAATTATTATTTATAATTTATATTTAAATAATAAATTATTAATAATTGTCACTGTCAGCAAAGCTGCCAGTGTACTCTGTTCTCTCGCTGGACAAACTATAGATCATATGCGCCAGAAGGACATAAGAACTAATTTATATATGATCCATAGATAAATGACTTATATGATCTACAACCGTTAACCAGTTTATCCCCAAAAAACGGTATTTTTATTGCTATAACAACTTGACAAAAAATGTAATAAATAAATTGAATTCCTAAAACAGGAATATTTTGCATATTAATAATTAGAAATGACAACAGAATATCTCAAAAACTTGTTTGGTCGATTGTGGAAAAATCAGCAGTTACCAAATGTCAAAAATACGCGACGTTGACAAATTTATTAAATTCCTTTTATTTTGCGAAAATTATGGAACTTAATATAAATAACAATAACTTATATACCTCTTTTGGTTCATTTTACAGCTTAATTACTTGGTATAATGGATAAAACAAAAGTAATTTACACATTACAATACAGATAAGTGATCGTATTTTAATTAAGGACAAGAAAATACAACAACGTTAGGGACGTTTTTGTTGAGACTGGCAACGCAGCACTAAGGAATTCAAGATGGCGCAAGCCATTTTGACGTTCTAAGCAATAATATAAAACATTTTTAATAATTATTTTAATATTTTTGTTTATTTTGTTGTAAAAATTAGTGTAATTCATCAAATAAAGTGCCTTTCTCAATAGGATAATAGTGAAGGTTCCATAGAAACAAATTTTGTGCAATAATTTAAGAAAAAGGATTACACCTCATCAAGAACTAGGAGTTTTTTTATTTTTCATTATATGGAAAATAGGCTAAATTGGTACATATATTGATTTATATAAAGAACTAGAAGGGCAACAAACAAGCAAAAATAGAAAGATAATAAATACCAACCAACAATTGCACAGAGATAGATAAAGTCACTTGGAATCTTTAACAGAAGAATTAGGCACAGTATATTAGAAGGTGTTACTAAAATTTTAAACTAATTATGGAGGCTATGCAGTATGAATTAGCACGGAATATGACGCTCCTGTTCTTTTTTGAGCGCCTGTTAGATAAAGGGGAACCGAGAACTTTGCACGATTTAAGTTGTCAATTTGGATCAAAAGGGTTTACGAAAGAAATGAGGCAAATAGCTGGTGGATCCCAAAGTGGCCTTAAAAAGTTTTTGACACAGTATCCCTCGTTATTTTCGCTGGAAGGGGAGTATGTTACTATTAATACGTTTATAAACAGTGCTAGTAAAAGTAATGCAGGTAAGTGTTATAACTAACAAAAATTTAAAACTCGTTTATATTTGCTATTACTATTTTTATAGCTGGGAAGGATTATAATACTCAAGCGGTTGAATACTTTTCTGAAAAACTTCTTCAATATGGTGAAGGTACTGAGGTACCAATTAGAAGTTTATTGGGACATAGGTATGATGTTACATAGTTGTAGTTTTTTCTTAGTAAAATTATCAAATTTAGGTCGCAAGCTTCTCCCGAGGTAAGACATGTTTCTGGCCAACATTTTCACGAGTTCAGAGACTTTTTATTTAAATATCCGGAGACTTTCACCATTGACGATGAAAAAGAAACAGTAATTTTAGCCAACTACACTCAGGTAATTTAATTTTTACTACACAAAGTATAAAAGCTATTTTGTAATATAACAAAATTTTAGGTTAGGTCTCACTGCCCCAATATGGAACTTCATTTTCAGCCGGATGTCAAAATAGACCCTCAGGACACTCAAACGCTTTTGGATTTTTTAGCTCAATGTATTGAAGTTAAGGTACTTCATTATACAGGGTGGCTCCTCCCATACTAAGCTTAAGCTCCAAGAAATCCGAAAATCAATTAAAAATTAGAAAAAAAAAACTTTAATGTGTAACTTTTGGGACATCCTGTAGTCCTCTACATTTTCATAAAATACTTGCAATTAACATCCATAGGCTTCCAAAGTTTTATTTCAATACAAACTGTCATTCTCCTTGTAGCCTTTGCGTCGTATAGAAGGCTCCACCTGTATAAAATTATTTCTGAGCTTTATAAGGATTGTTTTATGAGATTATTTTGTGTTTTTAGGGCCCCATTTTAGTCGAACAGCTGTTCCAAATTGTCAGTTGTAATCTTCCTGAAAGCATATGGTCCAATTTGTTTAATACACCTATACAGTTGTCTAGCTTTCTAAGACTGTTCTCTGACAGTTTTCATATACAATCGAATCTAGTTACTTTATTGCAAACTCCAAAAATCAGTCAGAAACATATAACTGCTCAGGTAATATAGAAAATAGGAAAATCAATAAAAATGACAGTGTTGCCAACTGTTTAACGCTTTATGTCCCACCACGGCGTGTTCAAAATCTCGCTACACGCTACAAAAAAAACGCTACCATCTGAATTTACCTTAATAGAATTACGGTAAGAAAAAAATAATTAAATATTAGTAAATTGTATTAATAAGTAAATTATACTCCGAATTATAAAATTATTTCTTGGTTTGCTTGAAATAAGACAACATTTTAATTTTTCTTTTTTTTTATGGGCACAAGTTCCGCTAAAAGGGTTAAAAAGGCCGCTACATGGGCTTAAAATCCATTACCTTAGGGTAATTCCGCTATGGTTGGCAACACTGAAAACTTGGCATGCACGTTATCAAAATATTTGACGAATGTACGTCGCAATGTTGCCATTGCTACTTTTTTTACTTTGACATTTGACAAGTGTCAAATAAAATTCTTAATTTTGTGACAGATTTTGAGGAAAAAGTTTCAAACGAATTTTCATTTTTTAGGGACTAAACTTTTTTATATGACATAAATTAGGATTAATTGACGTATTCAATTGTTTTTCGTCACTTCCTGTTTCACCGGAAATGATACAACTTTTGATTTTTTAATGGCACTCTCGGTATTTTGTTACTTTATTCAATAGAAAACGACACTCTGAATACGATGACATATCATATGTCAACTTTTGACATTTTCGCATATATGGTTTATTTGAAATTCTGACATGCGGTTCATAACGACAATTTGACTCGAAATACCAAGTGTGTGGTACCAGATTATTTGTAAAAAAATGCTTTTTCCGAATATGCTGATGAGCCATCCTCGTTCCATTTAAAAAAATTGGCCAGAACAAGACACTAAAGACATTAGACGATCAAATCTGTTTTTCCAAGTCTCCTTGACTAAAAATTAGTGTTTTTAACACAGGCATGGCACTCTAGATTGAAATTTAAAATACAATATATTTTTAAGCGAAAATGTCAAAAGTTGACATATGGTATGTCATTCTATTCAGAGAGTGTCATTTTCTATCGATTAAAGTAAAAAAATACCGCGGATGCCATTTAAAAATCAAAAGTTGTAGTAATTTCCTGTGAAATAGGAAGTGACGAAAAACAATTGAATACGTCAATCAATCCTAATTTATGTCATATACTAACATACCAAATCTCGTTTTTATCTGATAAAATAAAAAAGTTATAGGGGTGAGCCACTTTTGAGACGCACCCGGTATAATTTATTTTAAAATATGTTTTATAATTTTTTTTTAAATGTATTTTAGATGGATTTAATAAAGGAACACACAATTAAAGACCAGCAAGTTAACAGTGAAGAGGTAAAAAATGCCAGAAATATCATAAAAGTGGAGCCACAAGAAAAAAATTCTATAGAAAAAATAACTAGTCAAAATTGTCAAGAGAATATTTCTCCAACGTCGCCAATACCTCCACCACAAAACGCTCCATCTAGTCCAAGATCCATAAGCGATAGACTTAGGCAACCGAAATTGCAGCAAAAACAAATGGAAGCCAAGCAACAGAAGTCTTTGAGCCCCGAACCAGCGATAGCACCGGATAAAAATGGCGTCGATTTCAGGCTAGGTAGGGTTATTTAAGGTCAAAAAATAACTGACAAAAAAATATCGTCATTTTAGAAGTCACTGTGACACGCTTTTTTTTTAATCGTACGGTATATTTTCCATATACATCAGTACTTTTTGGTCAAGAAGGCAGAGTTTCAAAAACGATTAAAAGTCTCAATTGCATAAATACTTATATTTCATACCAATTAAACTTTTAGTTACGTAGCTCTGCTGTAAAAATTGTCAAGTTGCAGCATTTATTTATTTATTTTCTGACATTGTCATTCGTTTTGACACTTCAATTTTGTATTACGAGTTTTTGGTTTAAATAAATAGTGTTGTGATACGTTAAGCTTAAAAATGTTTACTAACAGACCTTGCAATCCAACATTGTTCTTTTTAGAACCTTTTTTAGTGCGAAGTGTGCAAGATAGCTTAATAGCCGTAAAAAACTCATTGCAACTTTATTAGAATATTTTGAACGAGAAAGCGGTAGTAATGGCCCTTTATGTCCCTTAAGTGCTGTTAAGGAGGTCAGTTTTGTTTGTAATTTATTTTTGTTTTCTAAAATATTTTGATTAAAAGAAAATATGTAAAAGTTGTGCCAGTCAAGCTTAATAACGTGTTACACAACCCTTTACCATGAAAATCTGTTTTCATGGTAAATCTTATTCTTAATTCTGTTTTCGCTGAAACAAGCATTATTGTTTACTTCGTTAATTCTCATTGTATTTGTATTCAGTTAGAGCTTTGTTGTCGAACTGTAAAGTCGTATTTCTCTACATGTTAATTTAAATTTATAATAAAATATTTTTTAAAAACGGGTTGTTTGAATCCAATAAGTTACGTCACGTGACTAAAACGGCCCACAGACGATCCAAACTGTTGCACAACAAGTTGGACGATTTGGTTTGATCCAACTGTTTGAACGATAATTGTAACGTCTGTGGGCTTGTCGTCCAACTTGTCATTAAGACGCGGTTGGATCGTTTGGTAGTTGAGCATGTTTAAAAATCTGTCGTACAACTTGGTTGGATTAACAACAAGTTTGAACGTCTGTGGCTTTTTCACCGACTTGTTGCTACTATGTTAATACAGAAATACATCGTGTAGTGAGATTGTGATGTTTCATTATGGAGGAAAATAGGCAGTTTTAGACAGATTTTATGGAAATTTATAGAGACCATTCGTGCTTATGGAATATTAAAAGTGAGGAGTATTCCAATAAACACAAAATAAATCCAGATGCAACATTAGAACTTCTTAAAAAGAAAATTAATAATATCAAAACATACACTGAGTCACTGAACTAATTCATTTAAAACATTTAACTAATTGTACTACAAGTCGCTTTAGAATGTCGTTACATTGTGGCCAAAAGTATCTACGGTCTGTCTGAACGATTTTTTGTCCAATCTATCGTACGATCAGTTGTACAACCTATTGTAGCGTCTGTGGGCCCCTTAAAAGTTTAATTAGTATGAACTCTATGAAAAAAAAACAATGACAATATTGGACTTCCTTGCACTAATGAGCCACCCTGTATATCAGTAATTTGTAGTCAAGAAGCCTGGATGTTTCTAAAACGATTATAACTCTTAATTCCAAAATACTTATATGGAGTTTTTATAGGTTATTCATACTTGTATCTCTATTAGGTAAAACGTCTAAGGCTGTGGATCCCCAAATTCAAGATCTTCCAGTGTCTCAAGAAACAGAATCTACAAAATTGCCGCCAACGAAACCCACAAACAACAACCAAACATTGAAGCAAAGAATTAACAGTTTGGTGTTAAAAACCTTACAAGAAAATACAGGTAAAGAATAGAACTATAATTTTCTTTAATCTATATGGCATCTCAATGATGCTGAGGTTACTTTTTTCATAAATAAAGCCTTAAAATAAAGGATAAATTAACATATACATATTTTTAATTTTTTAATAAATGGGCATAAAAATGTAACTGAGGAATAACATTTTTTGAACTCAGGTTTCAATGGCTAAAATATAAAATATATTTTGCAGGGAGGGATAGACAAACAATGCTAAATCAACAGCAACCTTACAGCGACGCCTGGAAAGTTAAGCTGTTCCATAACACTAGAGTTATATGTAACATAAGAGAATGTCAAATGGTTATAGATGAAATTATGTCTCGCAACACAAATAATAAGGTAGATACATTAAAATTTTCTATACATTTTTATGTATACTGTTAGCCATATAAGTAATACGGCTGTAATGCTAGTAAAAACTTTAAGCATCTGCTAAAAGAGTGCGACGCCAACAACATGCAGAACGCTATAAACAAGGATAAATAAAGGATATAAAAATCAACCTAACTATTTACCTAGCCTTTATAAGGGGATTGTTTTTATTATTGATACTTGCACAAAAATCCATTCTTTATTAAAAGTTTTGCTTTGTATAAATCGCATATTTAACATTAATACTGATGTTAAAAAAGCATCGAAATTATTGGCGAAACATCGATAAAAACACCCAACACTAATATAGTGCGATATACAATCGGAGGATTGTCGGTATACCTCTCTATATGTCTCTCTTGCTCCCCCATTTGAATAGAGTTTTCTATTTCACAGTCTTGGACGATTTGTGTTATGTATTATTACATACTAGCCTTATAGAAGTATTACTAATATATGCTGTTTATTATTTTTAATCAATTTAAATTTATTAGGATCAAAAAAACTCTTCTGCAAATAATGAAGATAAATCTTGGCCATTCAGAGAAAACAAAGTCGTTGTAGGCTTCGACTGTGAAGGTATCAATTTGGGAGTTAAAGGCCAATTGACGCTTGCTCAAATAGCTACAATGACTGGTTTTGCCTACGTCTTTGACCTGATTTCATGCCCCGAAATGATTCAAGCTGGTTTAAAAAGGATTCTGGAAAGTACAGATGTCATTAAGGTATGTTTATTTTCTCTAAATGTCAACTTCCCTGGGAATACCCTCTATATTGTAATATTTTAATGAAAAAAAAACTTATTTTAGGTGGTGCACGACTGCAGGAACGACTCAGTGAATCTCTTTCGTCAATTTAACATTACTTTGAATTGTGTTTTCGATACTCAAGCTGCGCATGCTGTTCTAACCTATCAAGAATCCGGTAGACCCGTTTACAAGGCCAAAAGCGTGGCTTTAAACGCCCTCTGTGAAATTTACGGGGCATCTGTGAATCCCATGAAGGACCAGCTAAAAAATATCTATAGGTATGATTTCAAATAAAGGCGGAATTTCATGCATCCGTTACACGTTGATATGATCGAATTGATTGGTCTAAGTGATTTCGCGTATAGTTTTTATTAGTTATTAGTTTTTTATTACGTGCGCTTTATGAACATAACTCTGTTCAACGATCCAAGACAGTGTCAGTTGTGCCTGTGTCATTTTAATTCATAAGTAAATTGTTTTTTCTGTCATTTTTTGAATGTCATCTGTCCAAATTTTCGTTGGACAGACGGAAATTTGGAAAAGTATAAACGGGATTAACCATTTTAGAACAAGCAAATTTTTTTTATGAAGAATGCATTTTTCTCAATTTGTCAATAATAAAAAAGTGTTTCCTCTTTTACAGTCTTTAAATTCGACCAATAAACTTAACAAATCGTTCGTATTTAACGCATGAAAATCCGCCTTATCTATTAAAAATGTTGCAAAATATGTTTCAGACGCGATCAAAAGTATTGGTCAAGGAGGCCATTGACTCGAGAAATGATTTTGTACGCTTCCGCTGACGTTTTGAGCTTGATTAACGACAAGATATATTATCCTATGGTTAGTGCTATTAAGGAGGAGAATAGGAAATTGATGGTAGAGCTCTGTGATGAACAGGTACTAATTTATAAAGTTTTTTAATAAAGCTATTCAAAACCCTGAAATGAGATACTAAACTAATTTCCTGATTGGTTTAAGATATTTCTACATATAAATCCAGACGATGTGAAGCTAAAGAAAAGACAAAGAAAAACTGAGACAGAGGTTAAAGAATTAAGGCTTAAATTGTCTCAACCCACCAAAAGTGTCGTTTTGAGTAACAGGGAAGTTAGATTGTTGAGGTAAATTACATTGAATTTTATAACTTTCTATATTTTTAAATTTTTTTCGTACTAAAGCAACTTTCTTATTTTAGATACATTGAACTAACAGAGGAAGAAAAAGAAAAGCTGAAATCTTCGGCTAAAGTTGCTAAAAAATTGGAGAAGTTGGAAAGTTTGGGACAAGAGAGAGATAATGACAGTTCAGATGAAGACGGAGACAATGATGATTATCCGAGTTTTGACAGGTAACATGACTAAATCTTAAATGACGTTTTAGTCAAGGTGACGATTCAGGGTCAATAATATTTACAGTAAGATTTAAGATATTTCAACCTTATATCATATACTACCCTCAACTGTAATCATATACAGTGCGACAACTGAATGAAGGGCAACGACGTCTGAGGCAGCAGAGGGGAAGCGTGTAAAAAATCTAGTCATGTCATAGGCGTGCAAATTTATTTTAATCAGATTATTATTAAAAATATTAATCAGTTTTAATAAGTACATTGGAAGTAAATATAAATTTTGGTAATTATTTACTTAGATAATAATAGATATACTTAATATAATATTAGATATAAACTAAGAACGCTGTGGTATTTTTGGTATTTTTTAAACTGAGTCTTAAACTTCAAATGACTACATAATAGGTACTTATCTAATAAAAAACAAATAATAAAATTTTGTATACCTAGGGTGCAGCTGAATAAAAAAAAATTATACTGACTTGATTCGCTTATTTTTTATTTTAAGCAATGTATTATTTTATGTCTCTATTCTTTATTCTTGATATTTTTTATTAACTTGCAATAAGTTGAGTTATTATTGTTTGATAAAAATCCCTTTGTTGCAGTCTTAATGGACCTCACTTTACCAAAAAACAGAAATAAAACCTCTTATGATCATGATCAGATAAATAAATTAAATTAAACTGGTTTCAAAACTTACCACTTGCCCTAATATTATTAACTATTCCAAAACGTCGTTACTTTGCCAACATTTTCTAAAAGTTAAATCATTATCCAGCCATGTCTCGTCAATGTAAATTATGTTACGTCCTTCTTCTCTGTATTTCCGAATTGACTTTATATATTTATACCGCCAATGAAGAATCGTGGGTCTTTCCATTTGGCATTTTTTTGGCATATCCTTTTTAGCATTTCCGAAAATGAAATCCATTGGCCTTTAATAGCATCCTCAATGTTTCGCGACTATACGGAGAATTCATTATTTCTCGCAGCTTAAGGAGTAATTTTTTAAATGTAGGAACGACTTTTAGCTCCAAATAAAACTTTTTTATTGTTTGTCTAATGACAGGAAAATCTTCGAAGTCTTTCATAAGAGACAAGCGGGTTTTCTTCTTAGGTGGTGATGACAGCATCTCAGCTGGACGTTCCTGCTGCTGCTCCTCATCTTCTCTATGAATTTTGCGGACTGTTTTTGAGAAACCCCAATATATAGAGACACGCGATCAATTTTTCTTTTAGGGGTAATTTAAAAAGCATTGTTTCTGGCCTCTTCATCGCAAACTCTATATACCTTAGCGATAATTTCCTAGATTGGCCAGCAAGGGGTTTCCTTTGTAAAAAATATTTCCTTCCATTATTAAAAAAAACTATTTAAGGTTTAAGGATTGCGAAACCCTACAAATATAAATGTATTAGAAATGTGTCATTTATATATTATGACATATTTTTTCATGCAAATACTTACTTTATTACACAAACAACCAAAAACGAGTCCAGTTAATAAGTGTAACAAAATAAACGAATTATAAATTATACTATATTAATTAATAATAAAATTATATACCATACCAAACAACTATTACTAATTAAAAACACAGTTGGAACTTTTTCCGCCTACGCCTGTGACCAAAGTTCGGCAACGGCTTCCGATCTGAGGTAGGTACACAATTTAATTTTTTTGTCTCCTAGGAATAATCTCTCATCTTCACTGGCCCACGGCGAAAAATCGCCCGAGGCAGCGCTTTTGCCGGTTCTATTTTGTAGTAGGTATATTTGAAATAGTTTTTAAAGAATAAGTGGTAATAGTAATTTTATTCTGCATTTCCCCATGTAAATAAAATAGCAAATCCCCAGAAGACAATACTACTGAGAAAATTCATAAGGTTAAGTAATGAAATAGAAATTTAAAATTTGTACTTCTAGTCTATACAAATAAATTAGGATTATTACGAGAAAATTAGACAACATCGTAAAAACGCAAGGGAAGTGTTTTGCTCGCATTCTTTCGACCTCCCTTCATTGGGTTGTCAGACTGTACTATCATCATTCCCAGCTTATTCAACCATGTCCAATTATGGTAAAGCTTCCTCACATATTTAGATAATCTCTTTTGTAATTGGGTCCATTGTTGTCTATTGTTGGCTATGCGGGCCTCAAGATATCCCTACTAATTTCTTAATATCATTATCCCATTTATGGTTTGGGCTTCTTCTAGGTCTCTTAATTCCTGGTGGGTACCATGCTGTAATTCTTGTGGTCCATCTGTAGTTCGTCCTTCTTGCCAAGTATCTTGATCATTGCCACTTGAGGCATTTGATTCTGCGAATGACATCTCTCACCTGGGTGTTTTGTCATATGTGTAATAATATTAAGGCATGAAAATGGAAAGCCTCTTTATCTAACTTGTTGTATTTATTGACCCCTGTCATTTTTTGAAGACACATGTTGACCTTGAATCGTCATCTTTCGTAAAATAGACTATATCAATATTCTGCTTGATCATAAAATTGTTTGATTCATACTGTATAATATAATAATTTCAATTATTTCAGCGATATGACATCTCCTCGAAATTCTGAACCGACTAGTTTGACTGAATCAATGCAGCTAGTTGATTCGATTTTAAATGACAATAAGATTGACAGATTGGATAAGATTGACAAGCTGGGTACGTATTTTATTACAGATTTAATCATAGCATGTACATAACTCGTTTTATTAAACATATACCGGTGTATGCAGCGGATTAGGACGTACAGGAAATCATATTGTTACGTTTTTCGTCGGTTCCGTGTGGATAGAAAGTCTAATTTATTTAAACACAATTTATTTAACACTAAGTAACAAAATAATAACGATAAAACTACTTAAAGAACTATTTATAACTTATTTACGATTTATCTAACTATTTATATAAAAGGAATTTATTTTGAATTTAGCGCGGCAACTGTACACATCGAACGATCCGTTTGTTCTCTGTCCTCTTCTGGCTCCAGGCGTCGGCTTATGTATGAGAGAAACAGGCAGTCCCGATTTGATTCGAAAATTCTTAGCCGCGTTCTTCGTCTCACCAGCTTCTATTTGTTCTCGAACACTTCTCGAACGGCACCGGGCGTCTTAGGCCGAGTTTACACGGGTCCGCAACACTGCCCCCTTCTTAGATACATGCTCGTCCCGAGATGTACACGGTGAATGAAGATATTTGCAAAGCTGGCCCCTGGTACATTGAGAAGTCTGGTAGAAATAGCAGTCTACAGTTTTCTCTCCCGATCTCAGCTTTGGGTTGTAGCAGCAAACGAGGATCTCGATTCCCGTAAATCTAAACAAGACTTCAATTATGTTCCGGAGTGTACGCCAACTCAAACCATCGAGTCCACACGCCAGCTTCGGAATGGCTAATCGTGTAATGTTGTTTATCAGGGTCTTCCATAAATTGAGATAAGTCGGTTACTCGGGGACCATTCCTTGGTAACTAGGTAGAAGATGTGTCTTGCTTGATAATGCGCATTGTCCGTTAGCCTCAAGACGCTTCCAACCTCTGGATCCTGTCGGCGTAGTTCTCCGACACGCCCAAACTTCTCATTGAACGTCGCAGCGATTCCTCTGGACATCCGCAAAACTCGGGCTAGACAGTGAGCGAGCGAATAATCAGGAGGCACGGAAAAGAGGTCTCGTTGTTCTTCTTTGGTCACACCATAGCGAGCCCTCTCACTGTTGTTGTATCGGGCCATGAAGTCGTCAAAGGACATCCCTGAATCATGGGGATCAAAGCTGCAGGTTCTCACAAATAATAACGATAAAACTACTTAAAGAACTATTTATAATTTATTTACGAATTATCTAACTATTTATATAAAAGGAATTTATTTTGAATTTAGCGCGGCAACTGTACACGTCGAACGACCTGTTTGTCCTCTGTCCTCTTCAAGCTCCAGGCGTCGGCTTATATATGATAGAAACAGACAGTCCCGATTTGATTCGAAAATTCTTAGCCGCGTTCTTTGTCTCACCCAGCTTCTATTATTTGTCCTCGAACAGTTCTCGAACGGCACCGGGCGTCTTAGGCCGAGTTCACACGGGTCCGCAACAATATGTAAATGGTAACACAAGTATACACGGTTTTGAACCTGAGCAACTAAAAGCAATTTCTAAGATAATTTTTGGAGCTGAATCCAAATCAGCAGTCCATTTTTTAAGATCGGTTCTAGTTTTCGAAATATTCAATAAATTCATTATTTTACTATTTTTGACCGTTAACAGCCATTTATTGAATTAGACAATATAAATCAGAAATGAACAGAGGTTGAACTGAGTCTTTTATACTGTTTGGGATCTGTTTTACGGATTAGGGTCCAACAGTAATCGCTCATCATGCCTTCGTCACAAAATCCTTGGTATCGCCTTTCTATTTTCGCTATATCTTGGTGTAGCCGCTCTCCTTGCTCATCGCTCGTGTCGCCCAAGTTTTGTGGAAAAAAATCAAGATGTGAATGCAGAAAATGTATTTTGAGAGACATTCGGGCTCCAATCTTGTGGTAATTTTGCAACAAATTGTCGATTACTTGCTTGTAATCCGGTGATTTATGATTACCGAGAAGGTTGTGAACAACACTTTGAAACGATGCCCGTGCTGCTGCCTCATCAAGCGTTAAACATTTTGTAAACGTTGCGTCAGCCATTAGTTTTTTCGAATATCAGGTCCGACAAATATTTCTTCTTTGATTTTTGCGTATTTGCGACAGTTTTGGAAACAACTTGGTACAAAAGTACTGGAAAGCCGGTCCTTCGCGATGAGGGCTTTGAAAAAGTCCTTAACAAGGCCAACTTTAATGTGAAGAGGTGGCAGTAAAACGTCTTGTGGGTTTACAAGTGGTATCAACGTCGTCAACTGACCGTGCGTCAACTACCCGAGCCGTTAAGAGCGCAGTGCTACTGCCATGCGCGAATTCGAAAACTAGAGCCAATCTTGACAAACGGATTGAAGATCTGAGTTCAGGGCATCAAATAACGTTAAGAATCGTTCTCATCTGCTCGAGTCCAAAAGTTGACCCGAATTTGTAAACTTGTGTAATGAAACCCTTTAAATTTACCACTCGTATTTGTTCACACGTATTTGTTTGTTGTCCAGGTATTCATTGGTTTGGGTTGGTTAGGTGTCATGACATCTTTCAAAACACAAAATACACTTAGATCCATTTTATCACACACTAAACCAATGAATACTGAACAACAAACAAAAAATATAATATACAAAATACCATGTGAATGCGATAAATTTTACATTGGTGAAACGTCTAGACTCTCAAATGTTCGAATTAAAGAACATAAAGATTAGTGTACATTTTGTGTTTGAAGGATGTTCATACATATGTTACATTGTTTTCTTATCCTTCTTATTTTTTCCAAACCCCCAAAAAATAACTTCCTATCTCTCAGGATTGTTTTCACTAATTTGATTTAATTTTTTTAGAATCAATCCTTAGTTCAGCAGCGTTACTGCCATCTGACGGTGATATTGTGAAATGTTCCTGCAACTGTCACACAAGCAAAATAAACGGAATGAAGCCAGAAAGGGTGCTATCTCCGACGAACGAATATGTAACGAGTGTTGGCCAGAACGAGGCCATCTTTGCGAAGGAAAACCATTCGAACATTAGTACTCAAACGTTGAGTACCGGCGATATTGTTGTTACGAAGATATTTTTCAAGAACCAACAGACTGATGTATAAGTGACATTTGACACTGAAAGTATCAATTTTTCTTGAAAGGCTCATTAAACATATTTTTAACTAAAATTTGGGGGAAAAATATTATAATTATTATCAGATGGTAAAATATTATTTTTACTGAACCTTAAGGCTAGTCCTGACCATAGAATTTGGTGCCTTATTGAAAATTATACGTAATTTGCCTTGTGTGTAATAATAACAAAAAAGCCTTATGTATAAGCATATCACTACAGCTTATTCAATACTAGCTACTGATAGGGAAGTGCCTTTAAACCGGAAGATTGATTTTTTGTCTAATTTATGATCGAGAAAAAAACGGCGTCAAGTGAGCTTAGAAATGACGGTCGATAGTATTCATTATAGCTTAATTTTTATGCCTACTCTGACGCCGTTTTTTTTCTCTCAACCGTATTGTATTTTTTACGGCCTCGAACAAAAAAGGGGTCGTGTTAGCTCGAAAATGATTGATGGCATTCACCATGTAATTTCAGATATAAAATGATGGCGATCTTTATTTTGAAGCCTTTTATTCGATTTTATGGTATATTTTTATGGTTTACGTATACAGTGATCTAGAAAAAAGGGCGTCAAGTTGGCTTGGAAATGACGATCGATGACATTGACTGTAAATTTCAGACATCAAACAACTGTAATCTTTATTTTCAGTGCAACTCTGACGTCGTTTTTTTTTTCTCTCGATCTTATAGTATTCTTTACGGTATGCATATACAGTATAATCTAGAAAAAAAGGCGTCAAGTTGACTTGGAAATGACGGTCGATAATATTGACTGTATAATCAATGCAATCTTAATTTTGAAGGCAACTCATAACGCTGTGTTTTTTCTCGGTCGTATGTTATTTTTTATAGTATACACATACAGAATGATCGAAAAAAAGCGTAAAGTTAGCTTGGATATGTCTATTGAGGATATTAACCATATAATTTTAGATATAAATTATCAGCGATCTACATTTCCAAGCTAACTCTGACGCTTTTTTTATCCTGTGTATTTTTACGATCTACACGTACAGTATCATTAAAAAGGCATTAAGTTGGCTTGAAAATGACGATCGATGGATGCCATTCACCATTTAATTTTTAGTTATAAATTGGCGTTCTTTATTTCCAAGCCAACTGTGACGCCAATTTTTTTCTCTCGATCTTATAGTATTCTTTACGGTCTACATATATTTAGAAAAAAGAATGTCAACTTGGCTTAGAAGTGACTATCGATGACATTCGCCATATAAAATTATTATACATGTGAAATATAGCAATCTTCAATCCAATTGAAACAAACTCTTAATGCCGTTCTTTTTTCTCGATCATTGGTATTCTTTACTATCTATACATACAGTATGATCGAAAAAGGCGTCAAGTTGGCTTGAAATGAAGATCGATGACATTTACCATAAAATTTTATATACTATAAAACGATAGCGGTCTCCATTTCCAAGCTAATCTGGACGCTGTTTTTTTTCGATTTTATGGTAGTTTAATACATGTAGATAGAAAAAAAAACAAAGAACTAACTAGTATTGAATAAGCATATATTAATATTAACTTTATACAATAAAATGCAACTTATTGCATTATAAGCGGAATTCATTAAAAAGTCAATATTAAAAGAAACAAAATACAAGATCAAATAGTTTTCTTGTTATTTGTTATTAGTTTTATATAAATATATAATAAACACATAAACATAAAAGTTGAAAAAGTAAACTGCAGTGCGATTCTGTAAACATATTTCCTGTCTAGTGACTCATCAATCGTATGAGAATAACATAGGCTAGGCAATAAATTTCTTGCTAATGGAGCTTACAAAATCCCACTGCTGGGTATATTTTCAATTCTTTAATACTCTGTTATATACTATGTACTCAGTTTGGTAAAAGAAAAAAATTTGTATAGTAGTTCAGTGCTCAATAAATTATAGAATAGATATACCAGAAAAATGTACTGTGAAAATCTGTCACGAAATTTGTGAAATGTTTTACAAGTGAAAAACAGTTTTTTATGTCTAAGTACTTAAAACTGGCGAATATGGTGGCAATATTAGTAAAGTTCATCAAATTTTGACTTGGAAAACAAAATTGTGATGGAAGGTTGTATTCGGACGAAAAAATTTGTGATATATGGCCTTATATTGAAATTAACACATATTTCAATATACATTTTCTACAAAAAATAATATAGAAAATAACTATTAGTTAACCTAAAATATCAATATGATTATAAAAATGTATACTGCCTAAATGCAGTCAATTAGAATCATTTAGAGAAACATATTAATTAGATTGATACCGTATGATCGAAAAAACGGCGTCAAAGACGGTTGGGGAATGACAGTCAATGATATTTTGACGAGGTCAATCTCTAGACGTCATTTACTAAAAATTGACGTAAGACTTGCCAAAAATTGACACTAATTATAGAAAAATTAAAGGATAGAACGTTTCTAGATACTCAAATCTATTTCCAAAAATTATTTTTCTTGAATTTTTAACTCTATTTTTACCCAATATAAAAATGGCGTCTAGAGGTTGATGTCGCCAAAATAAATCAACGATTGTCATTCCTCAGCTATCTTTGACGCCGTTTTTTTTCGATCGTATAGTATTAAACACTTATAAAAATTTTATTTAAGTTTTAACCGAGAATATTTTTACTTATCAATTAATTTTATAGATTTATATGTTTATTTTGGCAAATAATAAATTTGCAGCCATATATTTTAATGCTTTTATGTCTATTGATATGTATCTGTATATACCGGTACGACAAAAAGTTTCATGATCAAGCCAGAAAAATTTGTCATCATACAAAGATTTTAATCTTACTGTATATGTTACGTATATACCATATGACCGAAAAAAGGCCTCCGCGTAATGCCGTTATTTTTCGATTGTACAGTACATATACAGTAGGCTCAAAAGTTATATGATCAGTCGTTATTTTTTCTTAGTGTTTCTAGTTTATTTGTCATTATACACAGTACAGGGTGTCTTCACATCATTGTCCACTGTGTTACTTCTTTATGAAATTAAAGATGCTCCATACAGTACAATAGTACAAAAGAGTACATTATACAACATTTTAAAATTCGCCCTGTATTTCAGGAACTAAGAGGGCTAGGACAAATCTGTGTGTAGCATTTTTAGTGTCATAAAAAAGTAGCGCACCGTGTTGTGAAAACCGCATCTTTGTATCCCTACTCATAAACGAGAAACCCCATAAAACAAACGAAAATGGGGCACCCTGTATGTACACACTGGATCATGAAACTTTTTGGTCACTTTGTATATGTTCTATATTCTTTTAAAGTGATAATTTTTAATATATATGTACTAATGTTATGATTTAAACAGTTTTTGTTTTTAATTTTATAATAATTTTAAAATGATTTAAGGTATATATTTTGTTCAAAGGTCAATTTTTATATTGTTTGGGTGTATTTTTTTCTAGGATATGTTTAAATATTATTATAAAATTTAGAACGTTAACTTAACTAATCTTAATAATTTAACTTATATATATTTATTAGGTCTTTATGTCTTAGATGTGTTTCTAAGACAGCAAAGACTCTTAACAAAGTTTTATTTAATATTAAGCAATATTTGTGTATTTTTAATACATATTATTTTTGCTGGTAATGGTTCTATTGTTTAAAAAATAATTTGTAGTTGAAATTGTTGCAAGACTTAAAAAAGGAATAAAATATACTTCCATTAACAACATGTTGTTTTATTTATTTCACACTCAATACAAAGTTTGCTACTAATACTTTACCTCCTCGCTCTTATATTATATATTCTTGATCAAAATTCAGCATTTTCAGATACTGAACAAAAGTTTGTCAGAACATATTTGACTTGGTAAATGTCCAGATATTTAGAGCAAAAATTTCAAGTGTTCAACGAAATGGCGAATGCAACTGCTTACTCCTTGTACCGAAAAATACCTCCTCGCTCTTATATGTTCCTAATATAAATTCAAGATTTCTCAATTTGAACAAAAGCTGCCAAAAATAATTACTGTCCAGCAAATTTTGGACTACCCGACCAACGAGTTAGAATGAGTTAGATTTTTTCGAAAAAGGTCAATTACGGCCAAACTATAAGAGATATCGAGGAACGCAAGACGGCAATAGATAGGGAATTTAATTCTCTATAAGGGTGCAAGATTAGGGGATGATCGGAGCAAATAAAAATTTTTGGCGAGAAATGAAGGAAGGTTAACAACACCTTACCTCATTTATCGCCAATTTTTTTTTTGTCTCCGATCAACCCCTAATTTTGCATCCTTATAGAGAATTGAATTCCCTATCGATTGCCGTCTTCCGTTCCTCGATATCTGTTATAGTTTTCGAAATATCGGGGCTTTAATTTTTGAAACGAGTTCGAATTGCTAGAGATAGCAGAAATATCGTTAATCGATGCTATATTTACATGTGGTACTAAAGTTACGCTTTATCTCTTCACCTTTATGTGATCCTGATAGAAATCGGCGGTTTTTGAGCAGGTTTAAAAATTTTCGTGCAATCTTTGTCAAAAAGTGAATTTTCTCGGACTTGTATCAGGAATACATAAGAGCGACTAGGTAAATACTACCTATAAAGGAGGTAAAGGTATATAGGTATTATTTTCATTAAAAATACTGTCTATTCCTGAACAACTTGTTAGGTTTTTTAATATTACAATACATTACTTTTGTGATAATTTAAATGACTCTCTATTTGTTCATGATTAGACAGTATTTCTAATATATTCTGAATTAATAAAACTGATTTATTTTTCAATTATTATTTAATAACATATTAGTTTTTATTAACAATATAATATAAAAAGTATATTAAAATCCATGGTGCTGATGGACATACTGATGTCTAGGTATGTCTACGTTGCGGTAAATAAATCTTCTGGTTACCTTTCTGGAAAGTTTTGGTTCTGTAAGAAAAATATAAAGAAATAATTAACTGATTGTTGACTAACAAGCTTGATTAAAAACTATTACTTCTACAATACGATCTAAAAAAAACGGCGTCAGATGGCTATGAAATGATGATCGCTGTCATTTTATATGTAAAATTATATGGGGAATGTCACCGATCATCATTTCCAAGTCAATTGGACGCCGTTTATTTCGATCATAACTTTAAATACTCAGTAAATTATTCATTTATAGCTACACATTTTACAAAATGCAATAATTATTAGGTATTTATTAAACATATTCAACTTAAAAAATATATCTTTTAGTATAATTTACCTCAAGTTATTTAGTTCTAAATAAGAATTTCATCCTCGTTCACCTGTTGAATGTTTTGAATTTAATCAGGCTAATGGCATCTTGAAGAGTCTCAGAAGAATGACACAAAAAAGTATACAAATACAAAGACTTGAATAATGGCATTCCCATAAGGAAGAATATATGGGAGACAAATACTGAAATAGATTAATTATCATGCAATGAAAAAAATAAAGTTGATATATTGTGTAAAATGGTAGAAATGAATGAAATCACAAAAACATTGTTGGTAATATTCATGAAAAGGATAAATGTATTCTGCCCTGGAACTGTATACATATATTGATTTCTTGTTGAAAATCTGTAAAAAAAGAAATAAAATATTACATTCCATATTAATTCTGCTATAATTATGTTTATTATTTTTTGTTTTATATTAAGATCAAGTGTATCTTAAAAAATATGGTTAGTCAGTTAACAAATAATCAAATTAATAAATTATTTTGAAATAATAAGTTAAACTTACTTTTACTCATATAATGAAAGACAAACTCGTAAACCAGATTGATGGCCAAACATCAGGATTATACAAAAGGCGGGGTGACCCAGGTCTCTTCATTTGAGTGCTTTATTATTAACTATCCTAAAAAATATAATTATAATTAAAGCGTTATACTGAAACAATGCAAAATTGTTAGCTAAAATATGACGACATGCATAGTTATTTCAAACCTGTTTGTAATTTTTGTTTTCATTTGAAAGTATTATGTGATTTTAAGAATGCGGGGCACCTTTAGGTATACTAACAGTGACTTAAACTAAAAGACGTAGAAAGTACCTTTTTTGCCTATACAAATAAACATCCAAAAAATGCAATATAGGAATAAAAAACACACATCTTTCAAATCTACTAAAAAAATGCTAATAAATATCTCTAAATATGAAGCAATGTTCTATGTAACTATATTTTTAAAGTACAACAGAACTCAAGGAATGTATTTATTTTTTCTTACACTTGATTTTGAATAAGAAAATTATAAATATAAGAAAAATGTATCAGCTTTTAATAATGATGTAATAACATATTTGAAAAGGAAAAAATCTATAGAAAACAGGCAAACTAATGGAAACTTACATTTTCAGGAGATTAAACAGACCTTAAAGAATAGAATACACCATAGGAATACACTCAAATAGTGTTCAGAAAAATCATACTTTCCATCAGAAAAATTGTAAGAGCGACATAACGACTTGTTAACAGAAAATGTGGCACCGTCAATATTGTCAGATTGAACACATGTAAAACAGAATGTTGATTTTTTGCTACATAAATAATGTTGTATATAAACAAAAATACAATTATTTATTCTGCCGAAACAAAGCTTGATTTATATGTTTATTACATTTATCATGATTTTCTAACGGTTCACCTCATTTTGAAGTTTCAAAAATATTGATTTAGATTAGTATCAGGACTTTGCTAACGGCTTGGCAACCTTGGAAACAATTTAGTTCAAAATTTTCCCACCTTTTCCACAATGGCGCCACCTGCATTCTTCTTCTTTTTCGTATTTCAGGTCTTAAGAGAACCGTAACCACAGAATAAAATAAAAAAAGTTCTTCTTTTTTATTTTTAGGATTTGAAACACGAGCAACCACAGATTCGATATAGATTTTCTCTTCTTTTCTGTTAACTGGCCTGTAGTTATAAAGGTCATTCGGCCAGAGACCAGAAAAAAATAATCAAAAGGAGAAAGTCCAAAGTACAATCTATGGTTAATTATTAGACAAAGACAACATCAAAAATAAACAAGTACAGAAACAGTAAATAAATAATATCTAAAAATTAGGCAAGGAACGCTAATCAAAGTGCAGTAAAAATGTATCTATATATTTTTAAGAAACAAAAATGAATTTGAAGAAAAGAAAACATACAAATACACAGAGGCCAGGCCACAGGCTACGCCTTTTATACTTTGTATTACTGGTTGCATATCACAATAAACAAATTTGTACGATAGAAATATTTGTATATTTTTAATACATATTTTTTCTGGTAACAAAGCCATAAAATATTATACTTCCACTAACACTTGTTTTATTTACGTAGCACTTATACAAAAATGTTTAGAAATTGGTAATACAACAAAAACAAATACAAGCAAAATAAATAAATATTTATTGTATCAGGGCGACAATAGATTTTTAAAGCTGATAGCTGAACATGTATTTTGGTGCTACAAATACAAAGATATATGTACTTATTTGTAGACAAAAATTATATCTTCATCTGTCCCATAGCTTTTCCTTGCTTGGTCGAAATGTAGCACTGGCATTATGCAAACATCTAAAAACACTTTTTATTTAAAAATACTTAGATTTTTATTTATTGATAGGTATATACACATATAATATTTATTTTTGTATCAATAATTCATCTTAGAATTGAAAAATCAAATGTTAAAGCCTTGAAATTTATTTTTTGTTTTCCCTTATGAGTTTCACCTAGTTTTTTTGTGTAAAACCCCATTAAGCGCGGTTCAGACGCAACGACTTACCGTACGACTTGCTTGCGTCGACAAAACGTTGTTGTCGACTATCTTTTGAATTTTTTTTATCAAAGTAAGACAAAAACTGTGCAACACAACGTATAAAAGGTCCATGAATGTAGAATTTACAACAAAAATAAAAGCATATAACCATTCAGAAGTTAGTATTTTGGAAAATAAAGTCATTCTACTCTACTCTGAAATGCGCGTTACCCAATTTTGTATTCATTAGTCATTAATAGATATACTTACGATCATTGAAGGTAGGGTTTCTATAGTAAACTTTTTGACTGTATATGTCGTATCCACACAACACGATGTAATGTCCTTGATAAGTTATAGGCCACGGTAAACATTTTCTTAGTTCGCTAGTAACTTTGTTAAATTTGCAAATATCACAGCACAGCAGCCTTGCATTCGTTAAAACTATCACAGGACCGTTTATCAGATGTTCTAATATTTCTCTTAGAGTCACTGATTTATTTTCAATATAAATGTTGTTTTTGGACGCTTCTTTAAATCGTTTGTTCACACGATATTCATCCTAAAATTAATTAAAATAATATACCTAGAATATAATTTTGTGGAGGGTAAACCAAAGATATCTAACACTGCATTTATAAAACACCATTTGTTTACAATCATACATACTCGAGCATTTTTATATAAATTAAAAAGAGATCGGTGCATAAATTTGACAACGCTGTTCAGTTACGTGTGCATTTATGTCTTTTCGGTCTACCAGTGGCGCGCTGTTTTTTTTTTATCAACAATCGTAAAAAGTAATTTTAATAATACATATGGGCGCGTTCAGGGACGGTCAGCGGCTGAGTGGCTGAGTAAGCGATTTCCCTAAACGGTCTCTTTTTACACACAAAAACAGTCAGCCCTGAGCAAAATACTCAGCGGTCGGTTAGCCGCTGTGTTCCCTGAACGCGCACAATGTAATGTAATACAATAGTTTTAATTTCAATAATTTTTTTTGGTAATAATATCCTACTTAAAACTTAAATTAGGTACAGCACTGTTAAAGCTAAAAAATACGTAAGGTCACTCACCGTCGAAATAACAATTTGGGACTAGAATAGTCCACCTAAATTTTGTTTTATAAAAAGAGTTCTTTTGCAAAAAAAGTAAAAATGGCCTTTAAAACTCGAAAGTTCGCAACACCGCACTGAACATAACTTGAAACAAACTTTTACTATTTATTGTAAAAACATTAGAAACTAAACAGTCTTCCTAAAGCAGCGTTGTCACAGTTACTTCCCTAATAAATTTTAATTTAATTTAATTAGAAAACTAAAAATAATTTCATATGTATCTTAATTAAAAAAAATCATCTATATGTATTTTAACTAAAATGATATCCCTACATATATATTTAGTACGCAGTTTTTATAGGTACCCCAAAAAAAATTAATAATAACATACTTCGTTTTCAAACACAAGCGGTAGATCTAAGGCAATCAGCAGAAATTTGTCATCATCGCTTTTTGTTGTAAACGATGTTTGATCAGAATAAAATGTAAATATATATTTTTGTTTCCTCTAAGTTGAATGTCTTTCAAAACAGTGATGTTTAAAGAAATAACTTTTTTATTTTGTAGCTTTCTTTTACTTTTTTCAAGAAAATAAATAAGTGTATCGGGTTTTCTTACCTTACTTAAAATATTATGGTAAAAACTATTTCCTCTATAACCTTCATGAACTCCAATTGTAATAGTACAGTATCTATGCTCAATATTGTATCTTTTCAACAAGTAACAAAGATCAATGGACCAAGTACTAGAAAAAAATCGTTTTTAACATAATTTATGATATTTTAATATTAAAAAAGAAAACCTTTTATTAAAACCTTCAATTTTACAAATTTTACTAATGTTCTTTATGAAATGGTCTCTATATTTATTCGATAACACCATTGCTATGCACGATATTCCACAATCCCAATTCGATTTTTGTTTATAATGGCATAATTGTATGAGATGTTTATTAGGAAGATCTGAAAAATAAGAAAGCATGTATAAATAGAAGAAAAAATAGAGATTTAATCAAGTTACTGGCTATAATAAAGTCAAATAAAGTCTACCCCATGTCTACCCACTGAACCAGGGAATATATACAATGACAGAAAATACAATTTAGGGTGTGCATTGAAATGACAGACACATGTCATGTAATTTACTATAGTTTTAGTTGGAGAGATCATACTTTCGGTTAAATCAAATAATTGTTTTTTAAGACTATATACCGGGTGCGTCTCAAAAGTGGCTCACCCCTATAACTTTTTTATTTTTTCAGATAAAACAATGAGATTTGGTATGTTAGAATATGACATAAATTGGGATTGATTGACGTATTCAATTGATTTCTGTCACTTCCGGTTTCACCGGAAATGACTACAACTTTTGATTTTTAAATGACACCCTCGGTATTGTTTTACTTTATTTGATAGAAAATGACACCCTGAATCGAATGACATATCATATGTCAACTTTTGACATTTTCGCATATGGTTTATTTGAAATTGTAACATGCGGTTCATAACGACAATTTGAATCGAAAGACCAAGTGTGTGGTATCAAATTATTCGTAAAAAATGCTTTTTCAAAATATGCTAATGAGCCACCCTCGTTTCATTTAAAAAAAATTGAGATATGATTAAAAATACGATTTGGGTATCTTTTAACCGGTCAGGACAAGACACTAAAAACCATTAGACGATCAAATCTATTTTTCCAAGGCTCCTTGATTAAAAATTAGTATTTTTAACACAGTCATGGCACTCTTTTTATTACTCTAAAATTTAGAATACTTTTGAGCGAATATGTCAAAAGTTGACATATGATATGTCATTCGATTCAGAGTGTCATTTTCAATCGAATAAAGTAAAAAAATACCGAGGGTGCCATTTAAAAATCAAAAGTTGTAGTCATTTCCGGTGAAACCGGAAGTGACAGAAATCAATTGAATATGTCAATCAATCCCAATTAATATCATATACTAACGTACCAAATCTCGTTTTTTTTATCTGAAAAAATAAAAAAGTTATCGGGGTTTGGTTTGGTTGGAGCCACTTTTGAGACGCACCCGGTATAGCTGTCATAGCTAGTTATAATTTAATAGGGGAAAGAGCAGTGTTAAATTGCAAATATCTGGAACAACTTTTAATGATGTAAAAAAGTGTCGACATATTCACCAGGGACGTGCATAATATGGGTCATCACTAGAATATTTAAAAAAAAATAAAAACATGTGCGCCACTGACTTTTTTTTTCTTGCCAGCAAAATTGTACTGTTAATGCCTATTAAAAGATGTGTCTTGATATTTTGTCGATTTCAATCTCCTTGACGAGATAAACGCACTTTTGTTAATCGTAATTAATAAAATTAATAAATTATTTATTTAATCTAATTTATTATTAAATTTTATTGAAATATTTATACCACTGATGTACAGTACTACCTACAGCAAATTTAAGAAAAAAAAATTATTGTATTTATAATAATAACAAAAGACTTATTTTTTAAAACTTTTAACATCCTGTAACCAAAGCTGTAACTTTAAAACTATGCATTTCCCCACCAGTGTTTATAGGAACTTTTTCTCATTACCTTTAAAATTTCATTCGAACCGCTTAAAGCACTTGGAAACTTAGAAGAAAATTATAATAAATCGAAAAAAGATGAAGACTCTAACCTCCTGTAGATATCAGAATACCCTGTAGAGTAGAATCGGACGCATGTTGATATAAAAAATAAATCTTATTTTTACGTGAGATGACACATGTTTTTTGCAACACCCTGTATACTTAGGGAAATGTCTGACACTAGAATTATTATTGACGTTTATATCTTTTGCCCTATTTACAAAAATGTATTTCATATATAAATCAACATTTGGTAATCTTTTCACTTAAATTTGTTATAAGATAAAATTATGTACTAATAAAATCGCTCTCACCTTTATTTAGTCTGATATTTCGTTTCATTTTTCTTTAAATATATGCAGAAACGTCTCGAGAAGAACAAGATCAAGCGTCAAAAAACATTTATATCGCAACCATTGTCCCCCTTTATTTTCTATCAACAAGATAAAGATCAAATTGTGTCGGTTATATTCATTGCAGAACTAGTAACTAACTCATCAACCTAAATTCTTTGAAATGATAACATAATCTAAACGACTGTAGTAGTCCAGGAGGCAGTGAATTTTTTTCGTACATATTTTCCCAGTGGGTGGATATATAAAGCCCTGTTCTCAGAACTGCGACTGTCGCCAGCGACACGACCAAAGAACGAATCAGATTTGTCCAAAATTCAAACAGCTGTCAATTTTAAATTTTGTACAGCTCCCATTGGTTGTTTGAAATGTCAAAACAATGTTTTTATTTTGTACAAATCTGATTAGTTCTTTTGTCGTGTCGCTGGCGACAGTCGCAGTTCTGAGACCGGGCCTTATATTCTGATGGTGGCATTAATTGACAATTTGTGAGTCTGGCTAAAATTTTCGGATAAAGGGTTCACAAGATAAAAAACTAAAAAATCCACTTATTTTCCCAGCCATAAATATTTGATAATCAATATAATGTATTAATTATTATTCTATTAATATATAATGTATTAATAAATATTTATTAAAGAGAATCGTTTAATTAATGGAAAAAACAGTCTGGCACCTCCCAAGTGGAGAAAAGTCAGTCTGACTGAAAATTTAAGGATGCAAAAATTTGACAGATTTTTGAAATCCGTAACCCTTATTTTCCCACGCTTAAAATTTAACGTATCATTTGATACAGTAGGTCTGTCCGTTCTATAGCTACGGGGTATCCGTGAGAGGGGAAACGATATTCTCTCTATGTTTTTCGTAAAAAATTAGACGACGCGTCTCATCAATAAAAATTCGACAAATTTGCAAGTAGCCAATAAAATGAGTGGGCGGAGCGATTTGCGGTGACGCACTCGTCAAGTCGACGTATAAAATATATTGTTGTTTATTTAAATGTTTTTTGTCCGCATTCCTTTCATAGACACAGATCCAGCAGACGTGCTGTACTATCATAAACTACAGTATGTCAGAAAAATGCACATTATTCATAAAAATTTTATGAAGAATGCATTTTTCTCAAAATGTCAATAATAAAAAAGTTTTTCCTCTTGTAAAAACAATCCGGGATACACATAATAGGAAAATAAGTACTGAAAACCTTCACTGCCTCTTGGACTATAACAATAGATATGCCCATATCAATAGCAGGGGAATAGGTGATAACAAAAAACGATAATAAAAAAATGATTTTAATTGTCTAAACGGTAAAAATATGAGGATATGAGTAAGATGCTTTGTAATATTTTTTAGTAGCGCTTTAGCCATGTTTTATCTTTTTTTTTACTTAGATAGGGTGTTTCAAGAATCAAGTGCCATCTTTCGTGGGGAGATTCGCAAAAATACTATTTCCTCTAGCGATTATAAAATGAGATTATTAGTTTGAGGGTGAAAGTTACTTTAACTATTACATAATTTGAGGTTAAAAGAGTTAATAGATTCACCAGGGACGTGCATATGGACTATCACTGGAATATTTTTCTAAAAAAAACGTGCGCCACTGAGTTTTATAGGCCGTTTAATGCCTACTAAAAGCTGTCTCTTGCAATCTCTTGATATTTTGTCGATTTCGAGTTCTTTAATGGAGATAAACGCAATTTTATTATTATTTTTTTAAAGTGATCATCTGGCCAAAGTGTTACATACAGTACGTCTGTCCGTTCTGTGGCTACGGGGTATCCGCGAGAGGGGAAACTATGTTATCTCGATGTTTTTCGTAAAAAATTAGACGACGCATCCCATCAATAAAAATTAGACAAATTTGCAAGTAGCCAATAAAATGAGTGGGCGGAGCGATTTGCGGTGACGTACTCGTCAAGTCGACGTATAAAATATTGTTACGGATTCCGTGGGTCCACTAATTTAAACTCACGATAAAATACTTAACGAATTTATTTTCTCACTTTATACACAATTACTAACTTATAACACACAACAAACTAACTATTCCTTCACCAAATTGTCCGATTTTCAATTTCACGCGGTATATTCAAATTTCAAAACTGTCTCAGTTGTCGATGGCTCCGGCTTATATACTCTATTGACTGCTTCTCGAAACTTCTCAATTCTCGGAAAGCGTACTTCTTCATACCAGACAATTCTATTGTCTGATTCCTTTACTTCTCGACTTGACTAAAAGATGGCGCCTGAAAAAGTCTTTTTAATTTCTGGCGGATACGTTGCGGTTGTGCAGGCAACCAGTAATACATTTTAATTTCTGGCGGATGCGCCATTTTTCTTGACATTGCCCCCTTCTCAAATTTGATCGTCCCGATCAAGGTTTCCCTGTCTGGTATCTCTTCAATCGATCCAGATGAACTACTTTCATCTTACTTCTAGGGCTGCGTTGAATCCGGTACACAACATCATTTATCCTCTTGATGACTGTATAAGGACCTTCCCATGCTGGAGTTAACTTTGGGGACCTCCCTTTCTTGCGCTGTGGGTTATATAACCATACCATATCGTCCTGTTGAAATCCCGTAGAATTAGCTCTGAGGTCGTAACGAGCTTTCATCCGGTCACTGGCTAGCGTAATCTTACTTCTCACGGCCTTATGAATTCCCAATAACCTTTCCTTCAGTTCATCCGCGTAGTCCTCTACGTTCGTGGTGCTGTCGTCTGGTGATCCGAACACCAAGTCACAAGGCAACCGTAATTCTCGACCAAATAAAATCTTCGATGGTGAAAGTCCGGTGGTGTTGTGAACTGCACTTCTATATGCCATTAGGAATAGTGGTATATGCTGATCCCAATCTCTTTGATGTTCATCCACCATTTTCGAGAGATGTTCTTCAATGGTCTTATTGAATCTCTCGACCATCCCATCAGACTGCGGATGTAAAGCTGTTGTCCTAGTCTTGTGAATACCAAGCAGATCACACATCTTCTGGAACAGTCTTGACTCGAAGTTCCTTCCTTGGTCAGTGTGAAGCTCTAAAGGAATTCCAAATCTACTGAAGACATTATTGACTAATACTTCAGCTACAGTCGATGCTTCTTGGTTTGGAATGGCAAAAACTTCTGGCCATTTACTGAAATAATCCATCGCCACTAAAACGTACTTGTTGCCCTTGTGCGTTTCAGGGAATGGGCCTGCAATGTCAACAGCGATTCTTTCGAATGGCAGTCCAACGTTATATTGTTTCATTTTTCCCCTAGATCGAGTGCTTGGTCCTTGGCTGGCTGCACAAATTTTACATTGTCGACACCATTTCTTGACATCTTCGCAATAATCCACCCAGTAAAAGCGATCTCTCAGCTTGCTCAAGGTCTTGTTTACCCCAAGATGGGCTCCAGTTTTACCACCGTGAATTTCTTCCAATACCTGGGTAACTTTCTTCCTTGGTACCAGTAACTGAGTTGTTACTGTGCTGCCATCCGCACTTTCCCATGTGCGCTTTAACAATCCATTCTCAATAACCAGTGAATTCCACTGAGCCCAGAGAGCTTTGAAAACGAGCCCTCTGTCCGCAATATCCTGCCACGGTGGTCTCTCGCCGTTACCTTCCTTGAGCCGTAGTATTGCTCCGATGTCTGGATCTTCCATTTGATCTTTCCTCAATTGTGTCGTCGTCCACTGTTCATCGGTTCCAAGTTTAAACTCCTTATCATGACAGTGCCTTCACGTTGTTCCGTTTTACAGCAGTGCTTACAATCGGTTTGACAGGGTCTTCTGGATAAACCGTCTGCGTTACCATGCATTTTTCCAGCACGATGTTGGATGGTAAAGTGATACTGTTGGAGCTTCTCGAGCCATCGTGCTATTTGACCTTCAGGTTGTTTCATCTCCATAAGCCACTTGAGAGCCGCATGATCTGTCCTAATTAAAAATTCTTGGCCGTACAGATATTTATGAAAATGATCAACTGCCTTCACAATTGCTAGCAGCTCCTTCCGGGTAACGCAGTAATTCCTTTCTGGTTTGGATAGAACTCGACTGTAATATTCTATCACTCGTTCTTCGCCATCTTGCACTTGTGATAGCACTGCACCTATGCCGATATTGCTGGCGTCGGTATCCAGGATATACCTCCCTTGTTGTTGCGGGTAGGCTAGAATAGGACTTGAACATAAAGCCGCCTTAAGTCTTCCAAAGGCTACATCACAATCGGTGTTCCATTCGTAGCCGACTTCATCACCTGTAAGTCTATGTAAGGGTGCAGCTATATTGGCAAATCCCTTGACAAATCTTCTGTAATAGGTGCATAAACCCAGAAAACTTCTAAGTTCATGTTTGTCGCGAGGTTTAGGCCAATCCTTAATTGCAGCGATTTTCTTCTGGTCGGTGTAAATTCCGTCTGCCGAAACTACATGACCCAAGAATTCCACTTGTCGCTGGAATAAGCTACACTTCTTCGGGTTCAAGTACAGGTGCGCATTCCTTATGCGGCCGAAGACTTCTTCTAAATTTCGCAAATGCTCCTCAAAAGTTCTTCCCATAACCAATACATCGTCGAGGTAAACCAAGCACGTTTTCCAAGTTAATCCTCTTAACACCACCTCCATGAGACGTTCGAAAGTGGCTGGAGCATTGCATAATCCAAACGGCATGACCTTGAATTGGTATAGTCCGTTTCCTGTAGAAAAAGCCGTCTTTTCTTTGTCTTCCTCGTCCAGACCAACTTGCCAGTATCCACTCTTTAAGTCGAGAGTGGAGAACCAGCACGAACCTGCCAGTGTGGTTAACGTGTCGTCTATACGTGGCAGTGGGTAGCTGTCCTTCTTAGTGACGTCATTGAGCTTCCGATAGTCCACGCAGAATCGTGTACTACCATCTTTCTTCGTCACCAAAACAACAGGAGATGACCATGGACTCGATGATTCTTCGATAACTCCATCTTCTAGCATCTTATCTACCATTGTCTCCATTTCTTGTTGTTTGGAAAGGGGCACCCTTCTAGGACGTTGTCGAATCGGCTGAGCATGACCAGTATTAATCCGGTGCTTCACAAAATCCGTTTTCCACTGTTATTTT